TTGTGGAACAGCACCGGGAGCTAGGGCAGAAGGCCGCTGGAAACTCCCCACCTGGAAACCTTACAGGCTGCACTTGCTCCCACGTTCCCAGGTTGTGCCCCACACCCAGGGCCCTGGACTGGGGAAAACAGACGCCCCATCGGAGTGCATGTGTGTATGTGTGTGTGCACGCTGGCGTATGTCCTTGTCACTACGTAGTGAGCAGTCAGAACAGTGTGGCTTTATTAGGCAGCTCCTTCTGAGAGGGACCCAGAAATGTTAGCCTTCTGGCCACTAGGACTCAGGAGGTCACCCCCAGCTCTGCCTCTCATTTGCAGCAGGAAGAAGAGGTGGCTCCCCAAGGGCTGGCCCAACTGGGAGGCTTTCAGGATCTGCACCCCATTTCAAGCCTACCTTTACTGAGACTTTCCCTGGGGTAGGATCCCCTGACCTTGCACGTAGGTAGATGGTAGTCAGCGATCTTCACATTCTCATCTTTCGACAAGATAAGAAATAGTTCTCCTCCATCCTGGCTTGGTCAAAGGTGGGGAATTAGTGAGCGTGGCCAGGCTCCCCTCCTCTGAAGGCCCACAGAGTGTATGGTGTGACTTGCGCGAGTTCCCAGAGCCTGGCCCACTTTCCCCTCTACCTGTGACCTGGAGAAATGTCAGCGAGCTTGGTTCCATGCTGGTTGTGCGTGGGACACCCCAAAAAGATGGTGGGTGACTGGGGTATCAGAGACACGGGGTGCCTCAGTGCCCAGCTTGCGCGTGCAGCCTGTGAAAGCCCCGGAAGCCCTGGAGCGCCGCTTTAATCCCTCAGGCTGGGAAGGACACAAGTCCCAGATGCGCCTCGAGGAGTCCCCGTGTGGATTCCGCAGGACCCTGCACGTGCTTAGCAAAAGTGGCGATCGGTTGGGGAATGAAGGGAGGGGCGGAACCACGGGCGTGGCATTGACGTGCGGTGGGGCGGGGCCAGCGTAGTGGGCGGAGCGCAGTTCAGGGTGTCAGACCGAGCTGGAGGAGCGGGGCTAACACGGTGGGCGGGGCAGGCGCGCGCTGACGCGCGATCCCGGAAGCGGTGTCAGTCTGGGAGCCGGCGGCTGGCGGCGGGCGGCGGGCGGCGGGCGGCGGACGGCGGACGGCGGGACTTGTTGTTCTTCACGAAGTCGGAGCGCTAGCGCGGGCGGAGGTGGCGTCCGCTGGGAGCTGGAGAGAAGGAGCGCGAGGGGAGCGCGTGCCCGCGAGGAGGCGCCTCGCCGCGGTCCGCGACGCCAGGTGAGGGAGAGAGGGCGGTGGACGGGCAGGGAAGTGCCCCACGGGGGCCTGGCGGGCGAGCGAGGAGGGCGGCTCGGCCGCTGAGTCATGCTTCGGGGACCCAGGGCCGCCAGGCGGTCCGACGTGGGACCGCCGGGCGCACACCTGCCCCGACGGCCCCTTGTCCCGCGCGGACACTCCTGGGCCAGTGCACGTGCCTCAGAGCCCCGCGCGACGCGGGCCGAACCCGCACTCCGACGCCGACTCCATGGAGGCCAGGGCGCACCTGGGGGAGCACCTGAGCGTGCCATGAGCACGTGCGGAGCGCGTCAGTTCAACGCGCCCCCCTGCTTCGGCCGGGGTGGGGGGAGAGCCCAGGCTTCCGACCCCTCCTACCAGGAATCCCCTTGGGGAGCAGCGGTGACCCCGGTTCTCCCGGAGGCCACAGTGGCTGGCGCCAATTTCTAGTCAGCTGACCTACTAGGGGTGCCGGAAGGAAGGCCGAGATGTGGTAGCTGTGTGTGAGGAGGGTGGCAGGTGACAATCTGGGCGAGTGTGTCACTTCCGTCACTTTCGTCAGGTGTTATCAGGGTCCAAGGCTTCTCCCACCCTAAAGGCCAGTTCTGGGCCACGGTCGTGTTAGTCAACAAGTGCATTAGTGTGTGTGCCTCTGCACACTTGGAGCTTGTGAGCTCAGGAGAAATCAGAAGCACATGTAGAAAGCCACGTACCCCAAGAAGCCTAATGGTCTCTGGAGCCTGCCTGTCTTATTTTAGGAAGAGCCAGTCGGGCCAAGACCCCTGGCAGCCTCGCTGTCACACCTTGATCTGGAGAGTCTGTTCCATGGCATATAACTTGCCTGTTCGTGGAGCAGGCCAGGTTTGGGGAGGCTGGCAGCCCTCAGCTCTCTCTGATCTCCTAAGAGTGAGTGTGCCTTCACTTCCCTTCCTGAACCCAAAGCAGAATGGATGCTCCTAACACTTCATACACCTGTAGATCAGCAGGAATCCATCCTTCTGCCGGGTCCCTGGCATAGCCCAAAACTTTCCACAGTGACAGCATGATAGAAATCTGTGTGGTAAGATCCCTTCTTTTCCCTGGATTGGCCCCTTAATGGGGGTCCTAATGAGGTCTTGCTGTGCCTGCGACGTCGCAGTTGGTACAGTGGGCAAGTTCTATGATGTTCCTGGATGTTTGCAGGCCAGGGAGGCTATCAGATGTTGGGACCAGAATTGGTGGAGCTGGGTTGTGCAGCCCTCGGGACTGCACTGTGGATAGCCAACTCTGTTTATGAGACCTTCCCTCCATAGGTAGTCAAGTTCGAAAGTGTGAGTTTGACCTTGGTGGAGAGACTCTGCTGTTATAACTTAAAACTAGACTTCATTATTTTAAATACAGCGTTTATTAAAGCAAACCAGGTTTCTCTGGAATACATCTGCCTTTTGATTTGAACCAAGTCAAAGTTAGAGGGATTGGTTCCAAGTTGAGGGTTGCGTACTTTGCAGGTGGTTGTTGAATTGAGAGTTGGGCAGAGGGTACTGGTGAACCTTACGAAGGTTAAGGCCCTCTGTGTTCCAGTCTTCTCCACACCCGCTGGGCCACTGCCATGGAGTAAGACTGTTTTCTGGACTGTTCTTTGTCCACAACTCAGCCTTTCACTTGGGGCCCTGTGATGGCTGGAGGGTTTGTTTACACTCTTGGGCAAAGCTGCTTGCTGTCTAGACCTAGAAGTTGTGCCTGTTTCAGTTCTGGCTGTTTCTGAGTCTAAAGGTTTCTGAAGTGGACTTTCTGGATTTCGGGTTCAGTCCACACGGGAAATGCGGCCAGCTGGGAGAATTCTCTGTGTGGCTGCTCCTGAGAGCAGTAAACAGTGACTCATGCTCCCCTCCCCAACCTCCCTGTTCTCTGCTAATGGAAGATATGTTGCTCCGGTATTTACTTTTGCTTTTTATAAGTCACAGACTCGTCATGTTTCCTCTTCCTTACAGTTTCAGGAAACTGAAAGCGTTATCTGAAAACCATAGACTTTCAGAGCCAGCAGGCAGGCAGAGCCGACTGATCATGAAGTTCATTTACCTGGCCCAGGTCTGGTAGGGAGCGGGAGTCAGATCTGGTTGGTTGGGAGCCTGCTTACTCTCCAGTGTAGCTGACCTTTCCTGAGACCCCTTTACTCTGCCTGAGCCCAGATCTTTTCCAGCCTCTTAGCACCCTGTGGTGAACAGGGCAGGTAGCATATTCCTCCATACAATGGAGAAGGCAACATGTCAACAGAAAGTTCTAGAACCAGACTTGGTTCAGGACAATGGGCTACTCCACAGAAGACAGCTGGGAGGGCTTTCTGGAAGAAGCCTGGGTAGGAGGAGCATGGGGACCATGTGCCCAGTGCAGAAGGGTCCACTGGAGGAAGACTGAATGGTAACAGGGCTTAGAGCTGGGGAGCTCAGGAGGGACTTGGGACTGCCTCAACCTGCCAATGGGAGCTGCATGTGAGGAACTGAGATCAAAGGTGGGGTCCTGTTAAATCAAAACTGGGTCCTGGACAGAAGCTAAAGCCTGAGTGGGGCCCAGACTGCCAGCTGGGCAGGAGAACCGAGGGACCAAGGTCATGAAAGCTGGGCCATGGCACAGAGGATGAAGAGAAATGCAGGGCTGGGGGCCAGTTGCACCTGAGTGACATCATGGAAGGTGTATCATTACTCAAACTGGAGATACAGAGGAAGAAGTGGTGGAGGGACAGGCAGATCTTGCCCTTGGGTTTTCCCAGGAGGTATATCTAGCTAGGTGTGGAGGGTGGGAGCTGGCTGGAGCTCCAGGACATGAGAACAGAATCCTGAAGGGGAACTGGCACCCTGTAACCATTTAGTGAGCCAGGGGTGGGAGACATTAGGAGGCACGAGGTGGAAGCTGCTGGAGGAGAGGTGCCATGCAGCCTGCTGGTGGTGTGGCAGCCACTGCCTGAGTCACCTCTGGATGTAGCTGGGATGACACAGCTTCCTCAGACTCCAAATGCAAGGTGACCAGATGTCCTCCAAGTTGGGCAGACAGTTGTGGCTTGCCGGAGGGCAGCCTGCCAGGGTCAGGCTGCAGGCTGGTGTGGGCTGGGGAGGGGCAGTGGGGATGCAAGCTGGTGCTGAGGCAGGAGGAGTGTGTGGCCAGCGGGGGCTCTAATTAGCCAATACCTGCTTACATGGCACGTATTCACTGGGTACCAGTGTAGTGTCACCTGCCCCATGGCCCTTAGGAAGGGTGCTCTGCTTTGGGTGCTTCTGTGCAGGCTCCCAGCTCCTGAGCGGAGTAGCCACAATGGAGGTTGAGAAGTATAAAATGATCTTCATAGTGGGAGGCAGCTGTCTGCCTGTCCTGCTTTCTAAAAGGGTCTTTTCTAGGCTGTCGAGCTGGATTACCTGTCCCGATCTCAGGGTGTCCAGGCTCAGGATTCAAGTCTTCTGTAAGGTGCTGCTCTGCTTTTTGTGGGACTCAGGCCTTCTGCCTTGATCTGTCCTGGAGTAGCGTGGTAGCCCACTACCTCCACTCCTCAGTTACACTGAGTTAGCATCTCCTGAACTGCTGGCTGGCCTTCTCTTTCAGAGATGTGGTGACAGACCTTCTGACCTGTGTAGATGAACCTCACAATGACATTTCTGGCTCTGGGTTGAAAACCTGATCTTTTCAGTTAGAGCAGCAGTCGCTTGCAAGGTGCTGCATGTGGAAGCGGCTATCTGGGAACTTGGGATCAGTGGTGAGTAGTGACACTGTTAGGTCACGGAGTGCTTCATTCAGTGAAAATTCTGAGCTCCAGGGTCCCAGGCTGGACCTTAATGTCACCAGCAACTCTTCCAAAATTCTGAGCAGCTCAGGAGTGTCGGGTTTGCGTGGCATGGGCTGGTAGATGTTAGAAAGGTCAGAATGCTGTGCCCAGAAATTGCTGAAGAGATTTTTCTGTTGTGCTGACCAGTTGCTGAGGCTGGATACCCACCTTGGGCCAGGGTGGGAGGGAAGCGGACCTCCCTGAGACTTCCTGTGACTGAGGGCTTCAAGTGTCCTCTTGCCTGGCAGGATCTCCTGCCTCTGCTGTCCTCAACTCAAGGGCTTGGAGAGGACTTTCTCCAGGTTTTCCTGTGGTCTTGAGACTCCATGAGGGTTAATGTCTTACAGAGTCCCTTCAGAGGTTTTTATTTGGTTTTCTCTTTATTTTTTTTTACTTTGGTTTTCTGAGACAGGGTCTCAGTATATAGCCCATTTCGACCTTGAACTCATAGCAGTCCTCTTGCCTCAGCCTCCTAAGTGCTGGAATTACAGGTGTGTTCCACCATACCTGGCTTCAGAGTATATTGAAATCTTACTTTACTATTTTCCCATATACAAAACTTTCTTTGGGACTTGGGGGGCCTCAGTGGTAGACTTGCCTAGCATGTGTGAGGCCCTGAGTTTGATCTACAACTCCACAAACACAAAGCCACAAACCCTCTCCTCTCATCCTCTTTTTGAAGGCCACTGGTTTTTCTTTCTGCCTTTGATGTTTTAAAGCAACTTTGTTTCTTGCATAGATGTACTTTGTGTATTTTGGGCATGGCTAAGAACCAACCCTGTCCTACCCACATACTCAGTTCATGAAAAGTGCATCACGCTAGGAAAGCAGAACTAACCTGCAGCCTACCCAGGCCTCGCCTTCCATGCAAGCCGGCTGCTGAGGAGTTGGCTGGGCAGATGGTGACCAAGTCGTTCCAGAGAAGGTCCAGGGTTCCCCTGCAGAGCGGGGTCCCTTGCTTGAAGAAGCAAGCATGGTCTGTGTGACACCATGATGGAATGGGAGCTAGCAGGGAGTGGTGTGCGGGTGTGGTCCAGGAGCCCTGCAAGGAGCTTCTTTCTTGGCCTCACCTGTTAAGACCAATCCCAGGCTTTCAAGGGCTGGGGGCTAGGAATGGAGTATCTCTGGACCCTTTGCTTCCACCCTTTCATTTCTCTGGGGAATCTGGCCCAAAGGCAGACTCATCTCCAAGTTCTATCACAGCAGAGAAGCACATTAGGTAGGCAGTGTGTCTACATCCACACAGTCCCCGAGTGTCATCCTTAAGATGGCCAAGGAAGCAGAAAATGCCCTACGCTCAGACCCTGCTAGTTGCCTTTGCTGGGACCCCACAGGGGCCCTGTGGAATGATTTTCTCTCACTGGTCTTGGAGACCCAGAAGCCATGTAAGGTGGGTGTGGTGGGCTGAAGGCCAGCATAGAGTGGGGTCCAAGCCAGGGAGGGGCTCATCCTGCCACTCTGGTACCCCGACCTTGTAGAGAGAGTCAGCCGACCTTTGTGGGGTCCCCTGGGGCCTGAAGCCCTGTCCTATATGTATCTGGCCACCTCCATGTCCCAACACTTGTCATGAAGGCATCTCCTTAGTAGAAAGAGCCCTGCATTGAGCTCTGGGCTGCGTTCAGAGTCCTGTCTCCCAAAGGCCCAACCAGAGGCCCCTTCCCACCACCTTCCTTTTCCGCAGCCCGAGGGCCCCCAGGGGAAGGAGGGGCGTCCTGTGTGGGAATGTGAGCAGGCTCTGTAAACAGCCGGTGACTCACCACATAGCTATGTCACTGACGCTGGCTGAAGAGATGCCCGCCCCTCCTCCCTGGGCACGGGAAAGTTTCTCAGGCCGCTTCCAGGCTCCTGGCGCCTACAGTCCCTCACAGGGTGGTAGGAGCTGTGGCGTCTCTATGTCACTGTATGCCAGCCATGAGATGGAGTCATGTTTTGTCATGAAAGCAGGGCTCACCTCCCAGTGGAGTCACAGAGAGCTGCTGCTCATCCCATTCAGGCCCAGGTGTAAGCCATCAGGGTGCTCACTTTGTCTCTCCGGTCTCAGAGCAAGGACATCTGCAGCTCTCTCAGGCCTGCCTCAGACCAGGGTGCCCGGTCCCAAAGCCCCAAGCCCAGACCGTCTCAGGTTGGCAGCCTTCTGGTAGTAGAGGGTGGGGGGGGTATGGAGTTGGGGCCACACCAGAGGTTCAGCCCCGACGCTGGCTGCCCCACTCAAGTCTGCATCCTTTTGTGTACTTCTCCAGCATTGCTGCTGCCTAACTCAGGTTTGAGTTTGGAATGTTGGGAGGGGTGAGCCCAGCCCAGGTTCCCACCCCCACCCCTACCCTAGCACTGTTGTTGGGGATGAATGAGTTTGTTTACTGTCTGACAACTTTGTGATGTCTATGCGCAGTCCTGACCTGGAGTCATGATTTCTTTTCTTTTCTTTCTTTCTTCTTTCTTTTTTTCTTGGCTTCTCTGTTTCCGTGACAACCATCAGGGGTTGGCTAAGGCCCAAGGTCACCATGGCAACTATCAGAGGGGAATCATGCCTGGGATGCTTTGGCTGGGTTTTTCATGAATGATTAGAATGTGTGACACAATGCAAACTGGAGAATGAGAAGGGCGGGTCAAGGAGGAAGCAGGGACAACTCCCACCACCAGACAGTTGAGTTGCCCAAGAGGTGGCTTCGGTTCCCCTTGTCCCTGATTGCAGCCTCTGAACCTGCTTCCCACTAGGAGCTTGAACCACTGGGGTGAGGTGGTAATATCATAGCTGCACTGTCATTCACCTAGTTAGGTGTCCCAGGTACCTGTGAGAAAAGTGGGCCTTCCCTGTTTATCTTGGGGGTGAGACTTGGCAAAGGCAGGAGCCCCTTGAAAGGACCCTTCTTGTCCCCAGGGAGCCGACCAGCCACATGTATTTGGGGTCAGATGTACTCTTCTTGCAGGTGGCTTTGCGGTTGGTCTCTGGTCTTTGGGATGTAGCACCTTGTTGTCATGGTGCAGATGTCTTGTCTGAGTTCAGGAGGGGAGTCACACCAGATGCAACACTTGCCACTGCCCAGTGGTCACCCTGTAGCACTGATGGGTGGAGGTGGTCATCAAGAGGCAGCATGTTCTGACAGACCTGGGGGCAAGAGGGCTCTTGGCTTCTCTTTGGGCTGATGCTGGCAACTAGGTGTCCCTGAGCCGAGGAGAACTCCTGAGGGTGTCTCTAGAGTACCGTGCCTGCCTGGCTGCAGTAAGGCAGACCTGGGTTCCCCAGGCACCTTGCTCCTGAGTGCCAGGCCTAACTCCAGCTTCCTGTGCTCCTTCTGTGTCTGTCCAGGTACGATTTCTAAGCGGCTTTGCCCTGGTGACTGTGCCCAGGTTATGACGACGAATCCCAAACCGAATAAGGCATTAAAGGTAAGTCAGGTGAGCTTCAAGTGGGACCCCTGTCCCCATATAGGCCCCAGAAGGCCCTCCTTCCCAGGGCTGTTTTTGGGTATGCAGAAGAGTCTATATCCCTGGGAACAGATGGGAACATTACTGGGAGGAAGTCGTTAGCTGGGGAGGTGGGTGATAAGTTCTTGGTGTGCAGGGAGATGGTCCAGGCTAAGGGGAAAGTAGGGATTGTGTTCACAAGGTCTGTGTCTGCCTGAGCTCATCCTGTAGCACCAGATGTGGTTGGCCAGGGTAAGTGGCCTTTGCCTGGCCCCTGCTGACCCCAGGCTCCACTCAGCTTCCTTGACCAGGGATGCTGTTGGGCCCAGGTTTCTTATCAGATCCCCTGGGAGCTTAGCACAGAGCTGGAGCTCCATGTATGTATGGGCCTTGCATCCTAGGGCCCCTCCCCCTGAGGTAACCCCTTGCTAGACACCAGTTTTTCCCTGGTGAGTGGGTGGCAGGAAAGGCTTGTTGGGCTCCTGCCTGTGTTCATCACCAGTGAGAGAGAATGCATGGCAGGACTCCTCATGGAGGTGTGTCCTGGAGCTTGAGGGCTGGAAGTGATGGGAGGTGGGGACTGGCTCTCCCTGGGGAGCAGCTGTGTGTTTTCCATGTTCAAAGAGGGCCACAGTGACAGCAGTGGGGCCAATGGGCTACCTAGAGTGGCCTTGTGGTGCTGCACTGCTCCCTGGGCAGAAGGTGAGACACTGCTGAGTCTCTGGACTCTGCGGGGCAAGTCCTCAGGGATCCTAAGTTCTCCTGGTATTGACCCTTTCTGTGGCCCCACAGGTCAAGAAGGAGGCGGGTGAGAACGCCCCGGTGCTCAGCGATGATGAGCTGGTGTCCATGTCAGTGCGGGAGCTGAACCAGCACCTGAGGGGGCTCACCAAGGAGGAGGTGACTCGCTTAAAGCAGCGGCGGCGCACACTCAAGAACCGCGGCTACGCAGCCAGCTGCCGCATCAAACGGGTGACACAGAAGGAAGAGCTGGAGCGGCAGCGGGTGGAGCTGCAGCAGGAGGTGGAGAAGCTGGCACGTGAGAACAGCAGCATGCGGCTGGAGCTCGATGCCCTACGGGCCAAGTATGAGGCCCTGCAGACCTTTGCCCGCACTGTGGCCCGTGGACCCATCACACCCACCAAGGTGGCCACCACTAGCGTCATCACCATCGTCAAGTCCGCCGACATCTCTACTTCTGTGCCCTTCTCAGCTGCATCCTAGTGCCTGCTGGGGCCGCGTCCCCAATGCCTGCTCCTGGATCCCCACAAACTGAGCATCTAAGCACTGTGGACCCCTTGGGGCCAAGGGCAGGGACAGCAGGACTGGTGGCCGGCCCAGGATGGAGTGTAGGTTCTTGCAAGCTGGTGCCACCCACTGCCCACGTGCACACTCACACCCACACGCACACTCATGCTATCCCTTCTCCCTAGATGTGTCTGTTTGCAAGAGTTGGAGTCCCAAGGCACTGCATCCCCACAGGGTGCCAAGCTGCTGTGGCCAGGTGCAGGGGTTCATCTTACATGCCTCTGTGAGCACCCTGTAGGCCCCATCCTACCAGCCAACCCCCACTAAACTCCGGCCACCCTAAACAGCAAGGGGCCTATTGGTAGCTGTGATCTTCCAGATGTCCCCATGGACATGCACTGTGACCTGCTTTAGTTCTTATGTTCACGCCTGGGCTCTGTGAGGCAGACTCGGGAAGGGCTGTCCAAGGATGTGAGAGAGAGAGAGAGAGATAGAGAGAGAGAGAGAGAGAGAGAGTATGTGAGTGTGTGTTTGTTCCTCTGCCTGCCATCACAGCAGTCATGGCCACAGCACCAGCCTTGGAGGTGGGAAAGGCCTGTCAAGTATGTGTCAGAGTGTAGTGTGCATGTTGTGGAACGTCTCTGTGTTTTGAGACCCAAGGAGGTCAACCCAGGAGGCACAGGATCTGACCCAGAGGTAGAGATGCAGGCAAGAGTCTCCCAGCAGTCAGCAGAGAGCAGGCTTGGTCTTCCTGGAGTCACTGCTCGCTAGTTGTGCTCAGTGTGGGTGAGAAGTAGGTTTTGGGGGCCCTGAAGGGAAGGGCTGCTGTGGTCCAGAGAAGAGGTTGGTGGACATTAAGGTGGCAGTGGAAGATGTTCTGTGACTTCAAGGTTACTGGTAGACATGGAGGTGGCAGTGGAGGATACTCTAGCACAGGCCAGTGGTCATCAAAGTTTCCATTGTGGGAGAAGGCAGAGTTGTCAGGTGGGGAGGATGGAGCAGGAGCCAGGGAGGGGGACCCAGGTCCTGGGATGTGGAGGAGGCCTGGGAAGTGCTGTGTGGGGGTCAGAGGGCACTGGCTGGGACAGGCTCATTGTGTCCAGCCCAGCCAGGCCTTCAATGTGGTGCTTAACTGTTATCGGCACCTCCTGCTCTCACCCTACAAACCTAAGCTGCTGATGCTCTTGGAATCTTTCTGGTTTCCTTCCCCTGAAATCACCAGAGGGCCCCTCTGGGACAGGGACCTCAGCAGGGCCACCATTGTGAGCTGGTGGGATGCCAGCCCTGTGTTTTGCCATCAGAAGCTCACATGTGTGGTAAGCAGGGGTAGTGCAGAGACTTCAGTTTCCTCATGGCTTGCCCTCCACCTACGTAGTGAGACCCGCAAACTGCCAAGTTCACTTGCAGGGTGTTGGTCACATTGGGAGGAGGCCAGTGGATAGCCCCAAAGGACAGACAGCCCCAAGGGCTGTGGCCTAGTTGTGTGTCTACTGTTAGGAGTGGATGGAAGTGTCTGGGAGTCTGCAGCAGCATCAGAATATAGCAGCTGGACATCCTGGCCCCGGGGTGCTGAGGGCCAGCTAGGGTATAGCCCAAGGCACGTGGGATCCACAAAGAGCAAAGGCCCCACTGGGCACTTAAGAAAGCTGTTGTTACCATAGCCATGGTAGGTAATCCATATTGGATATCAGTAAGGACCATGGGGAAATATTTAAAGAAAGAGAAAATATATATATATATATATATATAATTATATACACGTTTTATCTTACAGATTTTTCATAACAATTTTTTCTTTCCAATTTGATACTGTAGGTCTTTGTTAGTGCAGAGCTTCAGGGGATGGTGGGTGGGATGGGACAAATTGCCCTCCTTCCTGGGTTCTGCTGCTTGCTATGGACAAAGGATGCCTGCTCCCTATCCTTGGTCTTCCTGCCTGCAGATGGTGCCAGTCACGCTGGGCTCTGGATAAGGCCTGACCCTAGAGGTGCTGTGCGTGGCCCATCAGGGAAGTTCTGTCCAGTTTTGAGGTCCATGTCCCCATCTTGTAGGATACAGCAGGCAGGTGACCACTGGCCTGGGTTGCTGCCCACTGTTAGCCCATGGTGCCCTGCCCTTGATTCCAGGGTGCATGATGCTGCCGTCCCCACCCAGAGCCTTGGGCCAGTGCCTGGGAAGGAAGCAGCACCTTCTGCTTGTTTGCAGACCCTTGAAATTTCATTGTCACAATTAAATATATTTGTTTTTTTAATTATTGTTTTTAAGGAGAAAGACAAGAACCTCTGTCTTTTGTGGGTTTGTTTTCTGTCTGGCACCTTGAACTTCCCAAAAAGGTAGGACTCTGCCTGCTAGGGTGGCCAGAACATACATGGCCCAGTCTGTCCTGGCCACCTGCTATTCACAGTTCATTTCAATATTTATTTTTGTGCTACTTTTTCCCCAATATAAATTATTGAGAAGAGATCATATGCTGTGGACCTTCGTCTGTGCCCACGCTGACCCTGTCTCATGGTCACCACCTAATTTATTGCTGTACATCTTGCCGCTGTGACTGCTTTTGTACCTTTGCAATAAAGAACGTCCTGGTTTCAGGTTCTTTTGATGGAGACCTGACTCTTGGAGCCAAGAACCTATGTGGCGTGTGCTGGGGAGTCAAGTTGGGAGTTGAGGTGGACACTGTCCTCCTCTGCTCTGGCTTAGCTAGGTTGCTGGTGGGTTCCTGAGCTTCCTAGCCTGCCTTGCCAGGGGCCTCTGACAATGGATGCAGCCTCTGCAATACAACTGGGAGCCACAGAACCCCTTTTCCAGCAGGGTGAGCTTGAAAATGAGCTTCCAAGGCTTGAGAAGGGTGGAGTCTGGGGCAGAGATTAAAGTTCTCCCACAGTGGCCTAAGAACCACTCTGGAAAGCTGAGGGCCTGACTAGATCTGGGGCAGGTAGACTGACCTGGCTGGATTCTGTCCTGGCCTGGCCTCCCTTGGTGAGCAACCCCCACCCCTCTAGTCTCATGGGGCAGCAGGGCAGTGTGTGGAGGAGGGTTGAGCCCTTGCAAGTCCTGCCTTCAACCCAAACTGAGGAGAGTGGGATGCACATGATGCCTGGCAAGGGAGGGGCTATAGCAAGTCCCCAGAGGCCAGATCTCCCCGTGGCTGCCCCCAGGGCCCCGTGACACCAGCCCTTGGAGCTGAGCTGGGGGATTTAGGATCCTAGGCCCAACTTGGAGGCTGTGAGCAGACAGAATTGTGAAGGGGACCCAGGCTGTCACGCAGGGCATCTGCCCTCTGGGGTTTCCCACTTGAGCCACTTGACAGATGGAAGTGTGTGGGGCCACAGCAAGCTTCTGCCTGCCCAGCAGCCCCCTCCTGTAACCCATGGCTGGGCCATCCTCAGAGCTCCACTTAGTCATCAGTGATGATGAGACCAAGACACTGCTCTTGGTCCTCCTTCCTCTGGGGCACTCACATTTCCTGCCAGGCAGCTGGCAGAGCTCAGCCTGGATGTGCGGTTCAGGCCGCTCTTGCAATGTCTTTCCCTCCAGCAGGTGGTGAGAGCCCACAGCCTCACTGTCATCAGCAGGGTCTGCGCAGGTGCCTGCAGAAGAGCAGGTGGCCGGTAGCCTCTGCCAGTTCTGTGACTCCAGGCGCCTGCCCCAGACTTCACACGGGTTCAGTGTCTGTCAGTTCCTCACACATGTGGGTGCTTCCATGTAGGAGCCCAAGATGCTGTCAGGTCTAGCAAAGGGCTCCGTCTGGAGCTCACATGGTGTCAGGCTCCCAGGAGGGTCCCCCAGAGCAGCTACTGTCCTGAATAGGGCTGCGGGCTCCTCAGGCCATCCATTGGGCATGAATAGAGCCAGCGTGTAAACACTCCCAGATCTCTAGGGAGCATGGTCCCCCTCAAGCCTGTGGGATGCCTCTTGAGCCTGCAGGATACAAAGGGCATGATAAGGTGGTGGGGGTGGGGGTGGATCTTTCCAGCTGGGCACAGGGAGGAACCCTATCTTATCAGCAGCCCAGGCGCCCAGCAGAAACTGCTGGCCTTGAGTCCCCTGGCCCTGGGCCAGGAGGAAGAAAGTGGGGACTGGCCCCCACTCTAGCTGCTACTGCAGTCAGTTTCACTTGGCTGAGTCCCCAGGTTTGGGGCACAAGTCCCTCTTCCCCCGGTGACCTGGCCCCATCCTTGGGAGGTGCCTGCCAGGCTTTCCTGTCTGCTGTGCTACTTCGATCCTCATGCCCTGTTCTCTGTCTCCTGTACACAAGCTCCACCCCCCTGCCTGCCTGTGCTGTGGGATTCAGACTCACCCCTGTGCCTGGGATGCCCTGTGGGGAGACACCACTCATGCCAGGTCCCAGTGGAACTCCTCCAATCCCATCCCAGCTGCCTTTGCTCTCTGTGTGCCAAGCCCATTTGGCCCTTCCCGTTCCAAAGAAGGGCCTGCCTGAGGCTCTTTGGGCACGTGGAGTAAGGGGCAGGACGGAAGAAGACAGGCCTGTGACCCCTCTGTGATCAGGCACTGGAGGCTGTGCCCTGAGACCTCATCCACCTGCAGAAGGGTGGGACCAACATGAGGCTTGGCTGGAGGATGGTGTCCACTCTGGCTCCCTAGGGTGGCACATTGCCTGGCTCCTGATCTCAAAGTCCATGCTCTTTGCCTCATAGTGCTCTGAGCCACACCATGGGCAGCTGTCTGAACAAGGAGGACTCTAGAATAGCGGGCCTCGTGAGCAGCCCCCTGTGCTCTGTTGCTGGAGTACCAGCCCTGCAGGAACAGAAGGCCAACATGCCATTAGAAAGTCCAAGGTGTTTATAAATAAGGTGGTTCCATGGGGAGCAGCAGGTCACCAGCCAGCCTTGCCTGCTGCTCAAGGCTCTGGCAGTAGGCTGCCCTGATGGCTGTGTCATGTGCCCAAGGTGACCTCTGCCAGGCCCCACCTGAGGGTCCCAGCCCTCAGCATTTGTGATTCCTCTGCTGGCCCAGACCAGGCTGCCCAGCTTTTCCTTAGTGGCCCTTCCTGTAGCTGCCCAGGCTGACTGTGCATCTGTGCCTGTCATGTCCATGAAAGAGCCAACTCTCAAGTTCTCTGGGTCCACATTAGCACCTCTCCCTCAGCAGCCTATTGCGGCTGATGGCCGATCACACCAGTGCATTCTCAGACTTGTCTGATGTGCCCAAGTGCCTTTCCTGGGTCAGGGCTCCCATTGAGCATCCAGCTTGGGGCTGGACACAGGACAGGAGAGCTCTTCGGAGACCTTTGGCAAGTGTTGGTGAGAGGCTCTTATTCATCCCAGATGATTGGGCAGCCCAGGTCCCTACAAATCCTCTGAGCGGATCAGCATGCGCTTCTCCAATTTCTGGTTCCTCCGGCCTCCACCAGAGTCACAGGCAGTGTCAGGGTGGGTACTGGGCGAGGAGTGCCCACCCTGGCCAGGCACTGGGGCCTCATGTGTGGCCTGCTGTGTGTACTGCTGGTAGGCAGGGGAGAAGTTGTGGATGGCGTCCTGCACGATGTCCTGGGGGCTGATAGTTTCCTTGAGGCCACTGGAGATGCTCTGCATGGGTGCTGGGGGGCCTGGGGGGTAGGCAGCATGTGAGCCAAGGGCCAGGGATGCCTGTGCCCCAGTGTTCCCCATCATGGACCCAGACCTGGGACACAGCTCTTAGCCCTGCTCCCTGGCTGCCTCAGGCCACTCAGGCTGGGCTCCGGCATGTCCAGATCGGGACAAGGCCAACCTGACAACCCCAAGACCTCTGAGCTAGCTTGGCTCCTCCCTCTCAGCCCTGGCCCTGTAGCTCATTCCCCTGCAGTTTCCAAGCGGGACACCATGGGCTGGCCTGGGGTAGGGCCATCACATCCTTGGCCACAGTGCCCTGACCAGTAGGTGAGAGGCACCTGGGTAGCACAGGTCACTGTGGTCCATCAGTAGGGATGTCAGTTCCCACCCCTCTGAGGGCCCCTGGGGTTGTGGGCCCTGTTCAGCACATCTCCTCCAGACCTCACACCCTCAGGTGCCTGAAAAGTTCCCCTGCCTGTCCCTGTATGTCCCGAATTTGACATCCCAGCACCCTGGGCGATCGATCGGCCTGGCTTACCTGGGGAGTTCTTCTTCTCTGCATACACCTCGCAGGTGAAGGCGTAGCGCAAGGCTACAGAGGCAAAGAGCATCTCGATGCAGATGAGGAAGTTCTGGTAGCCGGCGGCCAGTGTGCCAGCTCCCACCCTGGTGCCATCGATGACCTGGACCTCAGGAATGGCCCCACACCTCTCCAGGATGGCCAGCAGTAGTCCTGGGGATAGCAGCTGCCACTCAGGCCTTGGTACCGGATGGGAGGCTGGGCCCTCGCCAGCCCAGCCAAGGGTCCCACCAAGGCCGGCCCAGGACAGCTTGTCCATATGGCCTCCTATGGGAGGAGGGGCTGAGCACCTTCATGGGGACTAGGCACCTCCAGAGACAGAGGTCATCAGCCTGCCATATCTAGTCCTAGGTCTGGGGCCCACCTGAAGCTCTACGGTCTGCAGAGGGGACAGTGAGTATTCGCAGCCTGTGTGTGGGCCCAGTAGGGCAGGGCTTGGGAAGCTGCAGAGTGGTCTCCTCCTGCTAATGGACCCTGCCATGTCCTTGTTCTTGGGGCACTGGGGAAACTGAGGGCACATGGGGTGGAGGGGCGATTAGAACCAGGTTCTGGGAGTGAGGCCTGGCCTCAGCGCTGTTCCTGGCCACCCACCCTGCCAGAAGGAGAGGAAGATGACTGCCTTGATGGTGAGGAACTTCAGGACTGGCTCGAAGGGCTGCAGGAGGTCTCTGGTGGCAAAGTAGAAGAGGAAGAGCGCGTAGAGGGCCAGGCTGACGGAGGTGTTGTAGACCAGGGTCACATACAGGTAGCCGCTGTGGACACTGGGCGGGAGATCTGCTGTCAGGGTGGCCTGGGTGGTGCTGTAACAGCCCCCTGCCTCCCTCCAGAGCAGTGGGGTCTTTGGGGCTACCTAAGCATGTGTGTGGGGGTGGGGCAACCCCCTTCTGCTGACAAAAATGATCCCACTGCCCTGTCAGAAAACCACCTCCACAACCTCATCGACCAGCCACAGCCTGAAGGACGGGGTCCCTATGTGGTGAACACTGGTGAGTGTGGGTGCATGTGGTTATGCATATGTGACTCATCTATGTGTCCATGTGTGAAAATCCACATGTGAGATGCATACATGTGTGTGTGCACATGTGCGTGCCTGTGGGTGTGCCCTGAGCAGGCTCCCTCCCCAGTCCTGCCTCACCTCCTGGATGGAGCATAGGGCTCCATTGGCCCTGAGTCCACCACCCTCCTTGGGTCCCACAGTGTGCAAAGACTGTGCTAAGGCCAACTCTGGGTTGTGTCTGTGAACCCCATCCTTGGGGGGTGCCTCTTCAGTCAAGGACGGCCCCCTGAGCCCTGTGCCTATCAGTGTCTGCTCCCCACCACCACTTACTTGAAGTCTCCATCGTGGTATTTGCCAAACGCCTGGAGGATGATGGTTGTCACGGCCATGATGGGCTTCACAATGCAGAACTGCAGGGTGGCCTGGGGGGAGGGGCGGAGGCTGGGCAGCACAAAGAGCCAGGCCTGCATATCCAGTGGCAGGCGCAGGCTGGTGTTGCCTGGCAGGTGGGAGGGGGAGGGAGGGAGAGGCCACCCACCTGCTTGCAGAAGCGCAGGAAGCCAATGGAGTAGGACATGCCCCGAAGGCAGCAGGTGCCATAGAAGCAGCTGGGCCTGTGGGGAGGGAGTTCCTGAGGTGGGCTTGGAGGACAGTCCCAGCCCCAGCCCAGGGCATTGTTGGGTGATGGAGGAGAGGCTTACTTGATGGGCTTGCCCCGGATCTCAGCCATGATAGTGCTCTCACCCCCCAGGTACTGGAAGCAGAGGCTCAGGAAGCTGTAAATGACGAAGGCTGCAGGGTGACAGGGGCAGCTATGAGCCCATGGCCACGGGATCTTCCTGCACCAGGTTCCCCCCAGGTCACGAAGTCCATGGGCCCCAGGAGTTGAGGGGCTGTGTCCACACACCTGAGGCGCGGTCACAGCTACAGTGGGCACCTCTTGCCAGCATGCATCCCCTGAAGCCTGGAGTCCAACACCCCAAACCTGCTGCCCTCCCTTGGCCTCACTCATCCACCAACCCCCCCCCCCGCCCCCCGACTTGGCCCTGCACGTCACCTTCATAGCAGTCACGCACAGAGTCGAAATAGACGTAGTACTGGTGGCCACCGAGGAGGAGGAGGCTGAGCCAGGAGTCAAAGGCGTAGATGGGCACAATGAGCAGCAGGCGGATGATGTAGCGCTGCTCACAGGGCACAGTGTAGGAACGCAGGTGCAGGTAGATCTGGGCAGGTGAGAGGGGGCATGGAGCCACTGCCCACCGCCCCTTCGGCTTGCATGCACCCAGCAAGGAAGCGGGGTAGGCAGAGCCACCCGTATCCCTGTATTTCCTAGTCTTTTGCAGTCAGTGTGGTTATCATAGAGAGAAAGTAAATACCATTCTATCGCAGTCAAGTATACTATAAAATAAATGCAAACTTAACATGTAAGTATACACTAACTATATACTACTGATTATAATACAATTATCTCTTTCTTCTTTCTTTCTTTCTTTCTGGCATGGGGGATTGAACCCAGGGCTTTGCATGGAGATTAAGTCCTATTTAATTTAATTTAATTTAATTTAATTTTTTTTTATCGGTACCAGGGATCGAACTTATGACTGCCTGCTTGCAAGGCAGGCGCTTATGCTGCTGAGCTAAATCTCCAACCCCTTAATTTTATTTCTTATCTTTTAATTTTATTTTTAAAATTTTATTTCATTTGCTAAATTGCCCAAACCAGATTCAAACTTGCAATTCTCCTGCCTTGGGCTCCCAGAGTGCTGGGATAACAGTGTAGTGTGTGTCACTACACCTGGCTGAATTTTTAATACACAAATAAAAAGCCTATACATTTATGGCATCCAGCCTGGTGTTTCAATAGACACGTGCTGCAGAAGGGTTAAATCCAGATGATGATTATTATTACAACCACTGTCTCACATACCACATTTTGAGGTGAGGGACAAAGTCTATTTCTTTAGATTTTTTTTTTTTTTTTTGAGACAAACTCTCCATATGCAGTTCGGGCTGGCCTCGAACTCACCGCGATCCTCCTTCCTTTGCCTCCTGAGTGCTGGGATTACAGGTGTGCACCACCATGGTCACGTTAGCAATTGTTAAAGCATTAGACATTGAACCCAGGGCTTCCCACACGCTGGGCAAGTGCTCAGTCACTGAGCAACACCCCCAGCCCTTCCTTTAGCAAATTTCAGGTGTGTGATTCACTGGTTTAGTTGCTACCTCAGGAGCGAGACCATCCCTGCTCTTAAGAACCCGTGGTAAGAGGATGCACACTGCCATGCGCTTACTCCTTCCTTCACCAAGGATCCCTGAGATCTGCTAGGTGCCAGGAGCAGGCAAGGGCAGGTAACGTGCCCAGCCCCTGACTGGGCAGGGCTTCTGCAATGCACTCTGGCTCTTGACCTGAGGGTAGTGGAAGGACTTATGACCTCTGTCCCTAGGAGTAAATCTGTTCCAAAGGAAGGGGGATGACATGTGCATGAGGATACTTATCCTAGGGATATGTAGGGAATGACTGTTAGGACCTCCATGCCAGTGGGTTGAGCTGACTATGCCATGGAGCAAGAGTATGCAGGATTGGAATGCCACACGGCCTATAAAAATGAAGCCCAGAAACTCAGCCCTGTGAGGAAGTGCTCCAATGGGAAGCCATACCTAAGGGCCACAATGCACACCAAGCAGGATCCTAAGGTGTTGGGAACGCTGGGTTAAAACTGAATGAGGCCCCTAAGGTCTCAGCCTTGGGTTGTGGAAAATATGGGTAGAGTCATTACCTTTTAAGTTTACTAGATTTCCCAAACCTTCCACAAGGACATGACGGGGCCAGGGCTGAGGGGCGAGGTGCATGGGTTCTGCGTCTGGGACCCTGTTGGACTGGCTTCCCAGGAGAGGGCTGTGCAGAGGGCGGCTGCCTGACTTGGAGTGGGAGAGCCGCCTGTGTCAGGGCCAGCTCTTATCAGGCACGCAGGCCTCCTTGTGTGCTGTGGGAGGACACGGTGTGACCCAAGTCAGGAGATCTCTCTTGGGGCAGGCGCTGCCTAGTCAGTGACCTTGGAAGCTGCTCTCCTCTCCGGTCTTGGTTTCCCCATCTGTAAACCGAGGGGTCAAGCTCCTCTCTGTCCATTCAACTCTAAAAGGGCAGACACAGCACCTTCCTGGAAAGCCCAAGGTCCTGAGTTCAATTCCCAGTCTTCCAGCAAAACAAACAAACAAATAAATAAATAAAAGGGCAGAGTGTCCAGGCTTCTTCTGCCAAGCAGGCTTGGCACTGGCTGCAGGTCAGCAAAGGGGACAATCCTGAGGGCCGCCTTAGGCGTCTCCACAGGTCCTGTCCAAGGTGCACACCCTCCAGATGCCCAGCACGGCCACATGCACAGGCTGCATGACCCCAAGTCCTCCCTGGTAGCCCGACTGGAAGGGCTGGCCTCCACACCACCTCTGCAGCTCTGGTTCTGCCTGGTCCACCTCAGGAATGTTCCTTGTATTATGGTAACCAGCTGTGTGCCAGCCAGTGGGTGTCACACATAGGATCCCCTGCCCCCTGGCTCATGTGCCTATCCGTGCCCCTTCCACGGGCAGGTGGGCCAGTGGGGAGGGCTCTGCGCTCTCAGCGGCTCTCCACTGCCTTCTGAGGCTCCCGGTCCCCATCCATAAACAGCCACACTGGATGCCAGGCCATGCCAGCCCTGCCAGCCCCACACCATTCTTACTCTCGCCTTTGTGTCGTGTCATCCAGTCAGGTGTTTCTGCACCTCTCTGTGCACCTGAGGATGCTCGGGATGGTCCTGTCTCTGACTCTCTGTGCCTTGTGTCCCCACCGTGTCAAACCTGCCTGGCCACCAAGCCTGACAGTTCTGGGGGTGTCATTTTCCCTTCACTGACAGCTCAGGCCTGGGGCTATGCATGGAGACTTAGGAGTAGCCCGGGCCCTGTGCCCTCTGGCCAGGCTGGGCCCAGCTCCTTGTGTCCTCTCCCTGTACCCACTTCCCAGCTCCCTGTCCTTGGCTGCGGCTCCCTGATGCCCTGTCCCCACCTTTTGCCTGACTCCCCATGCGTTCTGCTCTACGCTGCCTGTCTCCAGCTTGAAACTTCCTTCAGAGCAGAGTCTAAGCCCTGGACACTCTACCCTGGGTTCCACACCTCTGCAGGGAGAAGGCCTTTTTCCTTCCCAGCTACATGGCTTAGGAGAGATCCTTGGTCTCCCTAAGCCTTGGTGTTTTTGTCTGAGCAATGGACAGCATGGCTGACCTCGGTAAGCAGGGTGAGGGGCCAAAGCAATGCCCAGAGGTGCAGTGTTGCATTCTGTCCTCTGTCTGGCAGAGACTTCTCTTCTTCAGGCCTGACTTCCACATGGCAAAACCTGAAGAAAGGACCCGTCCCTTCTCTGGTGCCTGTGCCTAATGCTACCCTAGGTCCCTGGGCACTGTACCCTGGTCTCACTGAGCCTTGGTGACTAAACCTGAATCGATCCCAGCCCAGTGGGGCACTGGCTGAGCTGCATGGTATCCCATGGAGAGCGCTCCCCAGGAAGGCTCCAAGTGGGGGAGGACTTACCTGGTGGCAGGTGAGCACCAGAGCCGCCCACACGAAGACACCAGAGACACCTCGGGCCAGTGCCGTGGTGAGGAAGAGCCGGGAGGCTGCCTGGGAGCTGTTGCCTATGTGGTCCATCTGTGGCCCTGCAGGCGCCACGGGCATGGCCGCTGAGGGGCTGGGTGGTGGCCAGGTCGAGGGTGCCAGGGGTGCTCCAGCCATTACCAGGATCCCTGAGACATTACTCATCTGCAGAGGGGGAGGATGCGAGGGAGGACTGAAGGCCAAGGGACAGTTTCCGCCTGGCAGGGGCGGGGTAGGGCAGGGGTCACCAGAGGGAGGCTCTGCCAGGCCATGCCTACTGCAGTGCCTCTTGCTCAGCATGGCAGGGGCAAGTCTCCACCTAGCTACTGTCCCTGGTACCACCAGCTTCAGGTTGTGGGTCCACCTGTCCCTTCTTCCATGGGGATTTAGATCTGTGTCACCTCTCCTTTGGCCTCAGGCAGTCCTGGGTGCCATCTATGCAAGGGGCCCTGGCTTCTTTCTGCCCGGGGGTTGGACCTCAGTTGCCTGTGTCCTGGAGACATCCCTTTGTTTCCCCCTTCTATACAACAAACTCCACCTCTGATACCCTGGGCTTTCAGGGAGTCTGTGGTTTAGGAGCCAAAGACTGCTTCTACCCAGGTCTGGAAATGGGACCCCACCTCCTGGGGGAGTAGGGAGAAACTCACCCATAATGGTACCTCCCGCCCCCATGCTGGGACCTGCTGAGCATGGTCCCAGCTGCTGCTGCTTGGCCACGCTCCCCCCACCTGTCCTCTGGCAGATTACCTGCTCCTCAGGCTCTGGACAAACTGCAGGGGCCTCTGGTGCATATCCATTCCCACCCCGGCAGCCCTGGGCAGCCCTGGGCAGCCCTGGGCAGCCCTGGGCAGCCCACCTCCCCACTCTAGCTGGTGGTCATAGGGCCCAGAGCCTACCTCTGCAGGCAGGAAGCTCCTGGCCCAGCCCCGGGAGGCCCAGCCTCTGGGGACGCTGGGCTGGTCATTCAAGTGACCACGTGGCCCCACAGGGGGTGGGGCAAACTGCTACAGGAGGGCTCTGTCATGGCAAGGCCTCACCTGCCCAGTGTGGCCCACCTGAGGAGGACCGGGAGGGGAGGAACCAGACCTGTCCCCTCCCTGCTGACACTCTATCCCTCAGGCTGTTTGCTCAGTGGCAGCTGGCTCCCAGGAACCAGCAGGCCTACAGGTACCCTTCACCTGCCTGGCCCTGGTGGCTGGGCAACTGCCAGGGCAGGGACGGGTAGGAGCGGTCTGTGTGGACTGAGGCGGGGAGCTGGGCTAGAAGCCTACACAGGGCAGGTCCTAAGGGCAGGGGTGTGGGGGGCTCAAGTACAGGGAGTCTTTGAGGTGATGAGGAAGTTGTGCACTCAGTGCCTGAAGGACTCATTGCCATGGGGTTAATTTAGGAAGGGGCAGATTGTGCCACATGAGTTTTAACAAAGCACAGGCCCTAGAAGGTGCACCGGAGACATTTCTGTGTTGTAGGGAGGGGGCCATGGATGACAGCGAGGTCACTGGGCCTCCTTGAGTCTGGAACTGGAGCTGCAGGGCCTGACCTGTCCCACCATCCTGCTCCTGGGAGGGGCTGGGGCCTGTCTGTCCCTTGGTCCTGTTACGGTCACTGCTCACAGGGCTGTGGGTGCTGGCCGCTCTGTGAGGGGTTAGGATCATACATTCTCTGTCCTTCCTGCCACCTGACTATCCCTGAGCCCTGAGCAAAGGGCTCCTTTTAAGGTGGGACCTGGGGACTCAGGCTCATCCCTGTGTCCAGCCGCCTCTGGAACTATGTGGGTCTGGGGTGACCAATTCCTGGGTCACTACCCATCTACATTTCCCCTAGTGAGTCCCTGCTGTCAGTGACCTCCTCCCTTGTAAACACTGGCCCCGGGCCCTGGGCCTTCTCACTCCTGCACCCAAGCCTGGCCCTCTCCTCCAGGTGGCTCCTTGTCCTGCGGTCTTGGTGTCACCCCCAGAGAGGGCTCACCTTTGCCCCACACTGCCTTCATGTGTCATCTGAAATCCTGCCTGTGTATTGTCCTGGCGTGTCACAGCCCTCTGGGCTATGGGTTTCCTGGACAGGAACAGAGGGTGGCGTCTCCAAGGTCTGCAGCCAAGGTGAGCTCCTCCTCTGTGTGGGAGGTGCCTGCCCTGAGCCTCTTGCCCTGCCCCTTTAGAGGGGCCCTGCAGAGGCACCAGCTGTGTGGAACAGCATTTTCTGGCCCTGATATTGTTACTGTCATTATGAACAATAAAGAAGACAAGATAGGGACCAGGGATGTGTAGCTCAGTGGCACTGTACCTGCCTGGCAAGCGCAAGGCCCTGAGTTTGATTCCCAGTGCAAACAGAAGGAATAGTAGTAATAATAATAATAATAATAATGACAAGATAATGGCTTTAGGGCTCTGAAGGGTGACGATATAGGGAGGGAGATATGGGCAGGCTTCTTTGGACCCATTTATGTTCCCGTGGGAAAACCGAAGCCTGAGCCCACCCCCGTTTTGTTTCCAGAACCCAGCATGAGATGAAACCTTAGGCCTTCACCCGGCTACTGATGTGACGACTGAGTAGACGGCAGGAAGCACTGTGGTTCAATATCAGAGGGCTTCCAGGATGGCTGGGGCCTGGCGCTGGGCAGGCTGAAGGCCTGGACCCTGCACTGAGACCAAGGAGAGAGCACCAGACCGGGAACCCTGCCTTAGCCTGAGCTGGCTCACACACCCAGTGGGCCTGTGACTCTTGGGAAGACCCTTAAGTCTCAGCTACCCCTTGCTCTGATGGTGGCCACTTCTGTCCCAGGCTGCAGTGTTCCTGTCAGCTGACATCTCTAGGAAGCTCCGCAGGTACTTTGGTGGCATCTCTCTCCCTCTCAGCACTGGGCCTTGCATATAAACTGGGTCTCTGAGAAGGGGTGATGGGCCCCCTCCCACCCCTGCTCATCTTCCTTCTCCTGCCTGGGTCACCTTCTCTGGCCTCCTGACATAGACACTTCCAGAGGCAGCCTGAGCCACTCCAGCAGCCCCTTTGTTCCTCCGGGCCTCTGTATTCCCATCTGTAAGATGGGTTTAGTCCAAAGGCCAAGCAGGGCAGGAACTGGATGAATGTCAGCCCAGGCTCTGTTCCCACCAACATGTGCCTCCCTCTTGTTTTTCCATCTGCGGGGACCCAGGCATCAGGCCAGGCAGTCATCCTGCAGTCCTGGTGTGCACCCATTCCTGGGCTCCTGTGTCCCCACCTGCAAGACAGGGCAGCCATGCCTGCCTCTCAGGGATATAGGGAGGACACAGTATGGTACAAACACCTCCACTTGTGACCTACGTTGCTCAGCACAAGTCCTTCCTGGTCCTGGGTCATTGTAATCCTCCTGGCCAGGGCTCTACCCCACTGTCCTGTAGCTGATGCTGGCCTGGGGTCTGGAGCCAGGGACCATACCTGATCGTATGTGCCCGGGACCCACTCCATCCTCCACAGCCTGGTGGGCCTGCCTCAGCTCACTGCCCGAGGAGAGTGTGGTCCTGTCCGGGTGCTACCCCCTTCTCCAGCCAAGGGTGGTGACACCTGACAATGTAGAGGATGGCATTCTGATGAAGTATTGGGGCTGTGGGGGAGTGATGGGGCACTTCTGGGTTTGGCATGCGGACCCTGCCATGGCAGGGGCTGGGAGAGCCCTCCTTAGCCCGGCCTGGGAGTCAGAGTGGGCTTGTAACACACAGTCATTCCAGTGGTCCAGCGTTCAGCACAAGACCACACGCTGCTGAGGTCAGGCATGAGGGCACTGAGGCATGAGGGCCCAGATGACCAGCTCTCACATAGAGGCCAGGGGCATGGTCCATAGCATTCAACAGAAGAGGGCAAACTCAGCCTTATTCTCCAAGGAGAGGGCTGACCAAGCCTGTGACAGGACAGACCTATCTGCCCACATCTGGGCAGTGGGATCGCTGACCATTGTTTGTGTAATCAGAAGACCAGATTCCTGCTATTCCAGCAAGCCCAGGTGCCCAGAAAAGCCAGGATGCCCCAGGGCCACCCCATACTCCTGGACCTTGTCACTCCTGTCTCAGCCCTGCCTTTTGTCCTAATGCCCATAGCTCCTGGGCTGGCTTTTGCACCTGTCCGCACTTAACCATCTTGTCTCTTCACACAGGGGTCAACTGTGCCTTCATCTCTGGTGCCCAGTCTTCCCCCAGGTTCTGCACCTCAGGCTAAGGAGTACCACCCAGCCCAGGTGACATGCCTTAGGCTGCAGAGGGGCTGTGGCACCCGACATCCTGCTTTTCTCACTGGGTCCCATGGCTCCCACATAGGGCCCTTCCTAGCTGGTGCCCCAACAAGTGGACAGTGGCACTTGCCTTTGAGTTTCTTGTTTTGGGCCATGCAATGGCTCCGAGCTAAGGAACACCCACCCATTCCTAGAGCACAGCAGGGTGGTGACAGAGGCCACATGCTCTGGTGCTCAGGTCAAGGACTCATAAGCAGGATGGAGCTCAGGGAGAGGCAGTGGAGGAGCTGGGGCCTCATTCTGCCCACAGCCCTGCAGGCAAAGATGACATATTGCCTTCCATCCCAGGGACCAGGAAGCCAGCCATCTCTCCCCATCTCCTGCCACTTGGTCTAGTCCTGTCCCTAGCACACCTGCCCACAAACATGTAGGCAGTACTGCTTCCTGGTGGCCAGAATGCCACTCCTCCCTGGGGAGGAAGCAGCCCTCTGGCAGACCTGGTGCCTCAGTTTCCCCATGTAACCTAAATCCTACATATGGCTGTGCAGGTCAGGGCATTCAGAATGAAGACATAGGCTCTTCTTAGGTGCCTGCTGGCTACTTCAAAGTGCGTCTCTGTCTAGAGTCCTCTTGTCAGACCAGCAGTGTCCCTGGACTGAGCTCCAGCTGCCCAATTGGCCTGGTGGCTGCATTCGGGTGAGGTGTGAGCAGCCTCAGCTTCTGGCCCCTGGACTGTCTTACTGCCGGTGCCCAGCAGCCCCAGGACCCAGGGGGGCCAGCCTGGGAACACAGGGACACCCCTTCCCGCATTGTGGGTCTGCGTTCACCCTGCTGCCAACCCCAACTCCTGAAGAACCTGCCAGGACCTGTCCATGCCTGCTTTTTCCCACACTAGCTGCCAGCTTTGGGTGTATCCCTGCCAAGACTTTCGGTGGTACTGGAGCTGGTGGGGAGCAAGGAATCTGGGTTTGATAGGATGGGGAGAGAGTGGGTTTTTTCTCCAGAACACCCACCCCACTGGGCCCCAGTCTGGAAACCATGTCCCTCCCATGTGAGTCCCCATGTGCATAGCTCACCTCCCTAGTGGCTCTGGGCCGCCGGCAGAGCCCCTGATAGACTTGCAGCTTGGCTTTCCAGACAGGGGACACCTTTGCAGCCTCCAGCCCTCTGCAGTTCTCCTCAGCAGCTGGGCCGCAGGGTCCCTGTACACCCTTGCTCTGCCCAGAAACTCCACCCAGCCCTGCCTAGCCAGCCCGACCTGCCCAAGCAGCCTCTGCTGGGCCACACCCTTGGCCACCCAGACCAGGTTCTGCGACCAGCCTTCAGTTACTGCCACAGCCACCTGTCATGCCCTCCTGCCTGCAGACCTGGGTCTAGAAACTGACATCAAAGTGCTCTTCTGGTGGCCATGTACCAAGTATGAGCAGATACTGCCATCAGGGTCACACCCTGGCCCTGGGTGTGCAGTGGTGTGGTGATGCCTATGTCCCACATGAGCTGAGCGTCTGGGTGACCGGACCATCTTCCACCAACCCTTCCTTCGGTCTACAACTCTCCATTCTCCCTTCCTTAGTCCTGGTATCCCCAAACAGCTCTAGGGAGGCCGAGAACAAGCATTGTTACCAAACTGGTCACAGTTAGACAGGGTTCACACGACCACTGGAACATGTAATCTGTGTTTGGGCCTTTTGTGGGCTGACTCTCGGTCCTCCTGGCCCCGGGGAGGGGGACATGCGACGGTGGGGCTCAGGGAGGTCGCTGCTAGTTTCATGTGAGAAAGCTTCAACATTCCTTGTCCTTACGTGGTGTGGGCTGAAGGCCGACAGATGGTAGGGCAGGTGCTTGAGGCCTGGCAGTGGGGCCTTCTGCATAACCTGGTTCTCTTTCTGGAGATGTGTCTTCCTCCTCCTCTCTTCCTGTTTCTCCCAGTGCCTCCCCCCTAGTCCCACCTTGTGCTTCTTTCCAGGCCCTAGCATGGGGAAGGCAGTCTGTCGTCAGCCCCCCAGGCCTTTTTGTCTGTGTGGTACGGGCCTCATGTGAGACGCTGAGCTTGCATGGGAATGTTCCAACATGTTCTTGTGCACATTGCTGACCATGTCCACTTCTGGGCCCCCAAACGCTGTCCTCAGCAAACATGGGCTTATTTCTGAAACATCCATATTGTCCTCGGGGCTTAAGGGGTCTTGGACCTCAATCTTTCTTCAGGAACCTTCACTTACAGCCAGGGCACCTTTCACCCACACAGGCAGGGCCTGCTGTTTTTCTTGCTGTGATGCCAAATGATAAGCTCCAGTGGCAGTGCCTCCCTTCAGTGCCAGGCATACTCTGCAGGCCTGCCTTTACTCCACCCGCTGAACCTTCTCCCTGTTTCCAGTTTCCCTTCCAGAAGCTAAACCGAGCAGTCTGTGCCAGCTCACTCCTCCCTGTGTGATCTCATCCTGTGGGCTACCGTAACTGGTGTGTGTGAGGGGCAGGTTGTTGAGTTTCAGGATATGGTAGCTGCCTGACCCCAAGAACAGCTGAGTTTCTGGAACTTTCTATCTTCAAGGTGCACTTGAGCCCTGGCAAAGAGTAGGAATGATGGAGGGATTTGGGAGGTCCCAAGTAGCTCAGCAGAGACCTGGGAAAACCATGGGAGGGAAGGTGGTGGTCCAAGGCAGAGCCTTGTAGACAGACCCTTCCTGCACGTCTGCGGGAAGGAAATTGTAGCTGGACAGCTGGGTAAGCATCACACATGGCCTCATTAGCTACAGATCTTAAATGCTGGCAGCTGGGAGTGAACTGTTCCTGTGGGAAGCAAGAACAGTGACTCTTTAGGGAGCCAGCCTGAGTCGGATGGGACGTGGGGATGCGCAGGGGCCCTGGCTGAGCTCCTGAAGGCAGGGACTATTGATGTGCTTTTTTCTGTGGCAGTGGGGGTCAAGCTCAGGACCTGGAGCGTGCCTCTGTGATATAGCTCGAGCCCGTCAACACTAGCAGATCACTGTGGCAGCTCCAAGGAGTGTAATTTAGAGGCCCAGGGAATGAGGTTCAGCTCTGGGTCAGTTTGGTACCTTCGGGCCAGGCCGTCTTGGGGCCACACAAATAATAGGGGTGGAGGAGCTGCCTTCTTGCCGTCACCACTACTTACTGCCCTGACCAGCACTTACACCCTGGCGTCACTGAGCGTCTCCCTCATTTCTCAACTGTCTCCACTACCTGCCTCTTAAGTAAGGGGTGGGGGGTGGGGTCATGGGACACAATTAGAGGCAGGGAACTGTCAGGGCTGGCGCTTAGGAAGCCCGGAAACGAAGCGCTTGAACCAGAACCAGACAGAAACCTGAAGGAAAGACTGACCTTGGTAGCTGGATTATTCCTTTGATGTAATTAAAAGGACACAGGGACAGAGAATGACAGAGGGGCCGAATGACAAGAACATTAGGCCCCAGGCCCCCAGTTCTTACTATCCAGTTAGCTTTGTGGCCTCCCCTCGTGTTTCACTTTCCTTGTCTGCAAAAGCAGATGGTGAGTGGTGGGGTTTTGAACAGAAACAGGCACATGAACTAATTCGATTTCATTTGTGGACAAGATTGGGAAACTGAAGTCATAGACTTGACTTCAGACCTAGAGCAGACCCAGGGTGAGCTTCTCTGGATCCGTTCCATGGGGAGAGCTGCAGATCCTTGGACAGAACCAGGTATGAGTTTTAGGGGACAAATATGGATGATTAAAGGCTGACAGTGAATGAAAAAGTTTGCCCCAAAGCCTGCTCCGTAGTGCTAACCTAATGATGCCAAGTTTTCACTTCCGGTCGAGTTCTCCAGAGCTGGTGCCCACCCCACTCCAGCCCAGCCTAGTGGGCCCAAGCACTTTCCCCACCTTGGCAGCTTGTGGTCCTACTGTGCTTCCTTCTTGAGTTCATTCATCTGTGGTAAGATTTGTGGGGTCAGGTCTCCACGGAGCTGACACTGACTGGGATAAAATCACTATGAGGCTCTATAGGAGACACCTGTGTGCAGGAAGGGGCGGCAGGCATCCGACAGACCTTGGGGCCTGCAAGCTTAGCTGGGCTCCAGACGGGACACTGGGTGAAGCTGTCTGGACATGATGAAGGCTAGATATGCTGTCTGGAGTCCTTGGTCCAAGTTGGCCACTACAATGGGTCCCAACTGCCAGGGATGGATCAGGGAGCTCCTGAGGGCAGGGTGGCAGGACATAGGTGCTCAGGTACTCCTGTTGCAGGAAGGAGCATTGGGACAGTCATCTTCTGTCCACCTTCAGCAGACCTACTTTCTCAGTTCACTATCTGCCTGGCCTACAAAGGGGTTCCTAAGAGAAAGAAAAATTACAAGTCTGCAGGAGCCACCAGTTCAAAGATAAACCAAATACAAACATTTCTTAATAATTTCATGAATACCCAGGGGTTACTTGAGGCTTTTGTGCATCCTCAATTCCAGGAAGGGCACCATGTGCTTCTCTGTGACCCAATCTCACACCCCCCCAACTGTCTCTGCCTTCTCACCGGAGACCATCAGAGCCTCAGGTGGGACAAAGATTTCACTAACTGGAGAGGGACTGGTGATACTGGCCTTGCTGTAAGACAGAGAGCCCAGGTCCAGGCTGCTACTCACAGGCCAACTCTGGGGTTTAAAGGTCATTCTACATCTAACCCCTGATTCCAGCCTTTAGCAATCTCTGCAGATATCCTAGGATTATTTCTAAAGGGTCGACCTAATTCTACTTAAAACCCTCCAAGTTCCTCACTGAGCTCAGGATCATTCTAGGGCTACCTGTCCCCCACAGTGATCTTCTTGTCCAGCCTTAGCACCCACCTGCAGTGCCACCCCTGCTGTCCTCATCATACCCTTGACCTCTGTACACATGGTTGCATCCCTGGACTTCACACACACACACAGTGGCTTCAGGCACTATGCCTTGACCTCTGTACACATGGTTGCATCCCTGGACTTCACACACACACACACCCACACACAGTGGCTTCAGGCACTCAGTATGACCCTACACAACACCAGCAGGATGGAAGCCAACAATGAAGACCCATTGGAGAGGAGCAGGGCGACAAGCAAGCACAGAGGTACTCCCAGGACTCACCCTCACCCATCAACCACCAATGGCATTTTGGTCATGATTAAGTATCACGGGAAACCCACTTTTATTAAAAAAAAAAAAAAAAAAAAAACTTCTACAAGTGACACTGCCCACCGAGGGCCACGAGTCATGCCAGCTGACTCACGTTGCTCATTCCCAAGTAGATGCAAGGATCAGAGCCCAGGGAGAACCATTCCCAAATGTCTCTACTGCTTTTGCCACCCACTGTGATATAGTCACAAACAGTGAAGATCTGCCTGAAGACAGGAATGCTTTTTGTGGCCAAAGTCAGAGAAAGCTCTTTCTTTTGACTGTGCCAAAGGACGGGTCTATGGGACCCTGCAAAGGGACAGAGTGTCCAGCTGGTCTCGCTGAGTGGTGTGTGCTGCTAACTCCAGGTCACCACACCTGGCACACCCGGATCAGCTCCTTTAAGGCCTTCAGCCCCTCCATGCTCTTGTCCTTCACCGCCATGGCGAGCAGGACTGCTCTGTTTCCAGCTTCTTGAGACACAAACGCTACCAAGTTCTTTGCAAAGACATGGATGAGAGGCTGATGAAAGGGAGGAAATCACAGTGACTGCAGGAATCCTGGACTTTTTCCCTGATGCTTTCATTAAGTGACTCTGGCTTCCCACACTACCATTAAGCCCAGTGTAGCTATGACTCAGAGCTCCACGAGGCACTTGAACTCCAGGTATAAACAAACCACTACAGAGGCATCATTAAGCTTATTTCCTTGGTGCCTTCCTCAACTCTCTTCCCACCTATTTCTAATCTGGAAGGACTCATGAAAGACAAGCCTGCGGAGCGAGACGCTGTCAAGTCTCATGGAGCACGTGCAGCCACTCATTAATATAATGTATCAGGACAGGGTCAAACTGAGGAGGCAGCCCGCATTACAAAATCAATACCTCCACTTATCTGCTGGATAAAGCGCTGACGGGCTGTGAAAGGCATTGCCAAGGGCAGGAAGATGCCCTCAAACCCACACAGGTCCCCGAGAAGGCTGTCACTGTTGCTGTGTGTGTGTGTGTGTGGTGCCGCATACCAGATGCTCCATACCCTACTGACAATTTGCTGCCAGGAGAGAGGGTTCTCCTTCACCCTGGGGTCCCTTCCCAACCACTCTACCTCATCCTGCCCGAGAAGGACTTTTGTGGTGAGCACTGGTTTGCTGATGTCGTTGGCCACGCTGCTGGGCTCCAGGGAGACCAGGGTACCCATCTTCCCGAACTGGGTCACCACCACCAAGATGTGGCTGCTGAACGCTGTGCAGACCACCTGCGTGGGGACTCCGCACACCACTTCCGTCTTCTGTTTCGATACCACCAACGGTTTGCTTTCCATGGTCCCGCTCTTCAGTGGCGGCTTTAATTTGGTTTAAAAAGACAAATAAAACAAGCACTGAGTCAAATAGTGTAGGGTATTACATAGGGCTCCAAAATAAGTATCACGTGGCTTTAAAACGGACGCACAAGCAAGTCCAGGTGGGCACGACTGAATACAGCGCCCACTATTTACTGGGGTTCGGGAGACCGCCTGCCACACGTGTACACCCAGTTCTGTTTATTGGGGCTTGGGAGAAAACCCAGCCCTCGCAGAAACTGATTCCCCGGGTGAGAGTAAGAGCAATGGGACCCCATGCTCACCACAACACGCCACGCCGGAAATGGCTCTGCGGGAGCGACTCCCGCCGGAAGTGACTCCCACCGGAAGCAAGACCGAGGGCTTCCGGTCCGGACCGCTAGGCGCTTGGTCCGTGCGGGCGCCGGCACCTCTACGGCTCGGGTTCCATGCTGCCTGACAGTCCGGGTGACGCGCTGAGACTAAACTCAGTCTTCCCGGCGGTCCCGGGAGCTGGAGGCTCGCAAGCTCCGGACTCATCGCGGAGCGCCAGGCACTGTCTGAGAGTTTACGATGAAGCAACTCTTAATCTTTGGCTTAGGTTCTGGAGGCTGAGCCGTCAGTGCCCGCGGTGAGGCCGGGGCGGAAGAGAACCCTTTATTAGCCCGGTGCCTGCATCTATCCGTGCCTGCGAGCTGGGGGTGTCATTGGCAGGCAGGGTATCGTGGGATGCGGAGAGTGGTTTGAGCGGTGAGACCTTCCCCGGTGGTGAACATCCGAAAACCCTACTTAGGCCTTGCTGATCACGCACTTGGCCCTCGCACCCCTACAATCTACTCCCTCTGCTGGTTTAATGCTTTCTTATTCTGCCTCAGTCAAGTCAGATGAAGCCTGTACTTTCCAGAATGATTTCTGGTGTTGGCTTAAAATAAAAGGGGCACATACAAAGCATGATCAAAATAGACCATAAATCAAGAGGAAATTCGTTTTTTAACATTCTTGCAGTGGGCACACAAAGGAAAAGATTAGGGTTTCATGGTAGTAATACTCAAGAAGCAGGAAGCTTATCAATTTCCCAGCAAAGTCTTTTTGTCTGTTCTAAATTTAAACACACATCCACCCACACACCCCAAAAGCAAAATGCCAGTGTGTTGCTTTACCAAGTGAAACCTTCAAAAGGTGGCTCTGAATTTTATTCGCCTACTTGTGCATTCTCTTTTCAGGCAAAAGAGACTGAGAAAATCTGATTCCCACCCAAACAAAAACTTCAGAAATAGACTCAACCATCTCAATAAAAGGAATGTTGGAGAACAAGGTGAACTACATTTTCATGCCACTGTTAAGCGAATAAGTGATTTAATCTAGAAAGACCTAGTATGAAGGAAAACAGTGGTGAAAGGTCCTAGGCCGAGGTAGTGTGGATCTAGGAAGAGGATTGTCTGGTGGGCTTAATGTATGTGTGAACAGAATTTGCACACTTGGAAGGATGGAGAGAAGATCTCATTACCTGGCTTTATTTTCCATTGTACAGGGTATTTGTACTGGAAAGAAAGATCCGTTATGTAAACTCATTAAAATGAGAACCAAGTAGGATCAACAGGGAAACAAAAATTTGAGAAGTTATCTTGAATGAAAAAGAGAAAAAAACCACCTCAAATAGCATAAATTTGTCTTATATTCAATAAATTTTAGGTCCTGTATGCAACTGCATTAATTTGCAGAAACAACAACGAATCAAGTGTTGATTTGGCAGGTTCCTAATTTTTCTAACAAATTGTGCCTAGCTCAACATATTATCTTTCCCTTTGTGTGTGATTTTTCCCAGCTCTGTTATAAAGAGGGTTGGTTTTTTAATAATTTGCAAGTGTACCATCAATTTTCCCAAGAGCCTCTCATAATCATTTGATATTCAAATTGTTTCTTGTTGAAGTGCCAGCAGGCACTGGCCTTGGCAGTTTCCTCCTCTTCAGTCCTTTGCTTGTCTGGCTTTGCCAAAGCCTCCCACACTAGCGCTCTGTCTAAACATGCCCCATTACATTCCTGGGTGTTCCGACATCTTGTATCTCTGGAAATATTTATGATTTGCTTTAGATTTCAGGGTATTTCTACAGCCTTACAATATGATTCTGGGTCCATTCATGCAAAGTGGGGAAAGATACTACAGTTACATGAGGAGGGAGGTTTGAGTGGAGATCAGTATGTGAACAATCAAATCATTAGTGCAGTGTGGCTTAATGATGCATACCTGTAATCTCAGCAGTGTGGGAGGCTGAGGTAGGAGGATCAAAAACTTGAGCCTATCCTGGGCAATTTAGTAACTTAGGAAGAACTTGTCTCAAAATAGAAAATAAAATAAGGCTAAGGATGTAGTTCATTGTAAAGGCCCTGGGTTCAATACCTAGCACTGAAAAAAAATTATGGGTACAACTTTTTTTATTATGATGATATTTTCCTATGTAACTGCCTAACTGCAGGGACTTAGATGACCAAACCTTTTTTTTTTTTTTTTTTTTTTTTTGGTACCAGGGATTGAACTCACAACCTCATGCTTGCCAGGCAGGCACTTATGTCACTGAGCTAAATCCCTGGGCCAGATAACCAAATCTTTAGACTGTGAGGACTTCCTAGGTGTGATCTCTCAGACTAGGTACAATCTGAGGCTTCAGAATCAACTTTTTTGGCTCTCACTAACTGTGGTTTGGGCGAGTTTATTCTGTGAGTCTCAGTTCCTCAGCTTGGATTTAAAGATACCATTGTGCTTGTCCCATAGCCCTAGGGAGGTGGTTTGTATATAGTGATTCACTGGGACATCATAAATTCAGCTATCAAATTTATTATTAACGAACTCTTCTCCCTATTCTTAAATAAATAAAATCCTGCTGCAGTGTACAAATGAGCAACAAAATGAATGCATCCAGTGGGATCTGGTGGGGGCTCATTCAAGGCGCTGTCAGCTGCTCCTGGCCTGCACCGTGGGAACCTGCTGTCTCCCAGGTGCCGGGAGGGTGACCGTCAGGACCCCCAAGGCCCGGGGTCTACTTGAGCAGCAGTTCTGTGGACCCAACATTCTCTCTGTGTGTCTGTGTTATGTGACAATAGGTGGAACCATTTTATTTGTATAAATGATGTCTTTCTCACTTCTCCCAGCCTGGCTTTTAAGAGGACCGGCTAACTAGAAATACATTGGTGGGGCAGGCCTGAGTCCCACGTTAGATACAGTCATTCTATAGAGATTATGTATGTATATTAGTTTTTAGGCACTATGGATTTAAGTTTTATTTATATTATGGATGTTTTTATTATATTTAAATCATTGATTTGTGTGATTTTTTTCTTCTTTCTTTCTTTTCTTTTCTTTTTTTTTTTTTGAGGCAGGGTTTCACTGTGGAATTCAGGCTGGCCTTGAACTTACTATGTATAGTCTAGGCTGGCCTTGAACTCATAGCAGTCCTCCTGCCTCAGCCTCCCAAGTGCTTGAATTACAGGCAATCATTGATATTTTGGAATTTTTTTTTTTTTTTTGGTACCGGGGATCGAACTCATGACCACATACTTGCAAGGCAGGTGCTTGTGCTGCTGAGCTAAATCCCCGGTGATACTTTGGAACACATAAAAGAGGCTGTATCCATTAGGATTCGTTCAAATATAGGCAACAGACACTTACGCAAAACATCTCACAGAAATGAAGACACTCAGAGGCTCAAAGGATTCCTCTGTGCCTGGACTACACACATGCCTTGGGTCTGTTCTCAGCTGCTCATGGCCTTATTTTAGGAAGCTTGCCCCTGGTTCTGGTTCTTCCTCAGCAGCTTTTCTTGCTCTATAGCCCTGGTCAAAGTTCCAGGATAGACTCATAACATGAGTCTTACGTCTATCCGAGCACTAATTGCTGTCTTAAAAACAGATTAGAGCCATGTGTGGTGGTGCACACTTGTAATCCCAGCACTTGGAGGCTGAGATAGGAGAACCCCACAACTTTGAGGCCAACCTGGGCTATTTAGTGAGTTCAAGGCCAACTTGGACTGTATAGCAAGACCCTGTCTCAAAAAAACAAAATAAGCAAAACATGAAAAAAAAAAAACTAATGCAAAAGTGACTTTTTGTACATTTGAGAGTTTGAAAATACCTCTAAATTATGCAGGTCAAAGAAGATATCATAATGGAAATTCCGTGCTCTCTATTCTGTTCTCCCCTGGAAGCCATCAAATCTATCTCTGTTGATTTGCTAAAATGGACATTTCATAGAAACAGAGTCATCGGTGGCCTCTGACTTCTTTCCCTGAGCATCACATTTCCAAGGTCTGTCCAGAGAATGTCAGTCTTTTCTTCTTTTGGGAGAAAAAAATTCTTGCCAAATCCTTGCAAAGTTTTTTTTTTTTTTTGGTGTTGGGGATCGAACTCACAACCTCACTCTTGCCAGGCAGGCTCTTGTGCTGCTGAGCTAAATCCCCAGCCCTTGAAAAGATTAGATGGCATCACATTTGCCAAAGGTCTGGTCCAGGCTCTGACCCCAGGTGTCCTGCCCCTCGTGGGTTACAGGAACCACTGTGACAGTGAGTGCATGGACACGCATGCTGTTTTCAGTGCCTTCGAGCTCTACTCTCTGAAGCAGAGACTTGAGATGGCTCCATAACTGACTCCCCCACCCCTAATTCCTCTTTTCAGGCCTGGTAAGTGTCAGAGTGGCCTCAGCACCACAGTCCTGTGCATAGAGATGGGATGTGATTGCTGCATAGGAAGCCAGCAACTTAGAAACAGCAGAACATGGCGGCAGAGTGAAGTAGCCAGAGAGGATGGCAGGAACCCCTTTCCACGCTAGCAGCCCTGGGGCTGGCTGACAGCATGCACCTGACTCCTGCTTTTATGCCTAATTCCTCCCTCCGGTGCCCTTGGCTTGTCACCGTTGGCCTCCTCTGTGGCCAGCTGTGTTTCTGTACATTGCAGGGCCCCAGTGCCCGTGTGCAGTGGGTGCAGAGATGCTGGACTATGCATGGACCCTTCTCATTACAGAGCTCCGGAAGACAAAGACTGCCTGGCTCTGTACCCTGTTACCTAGAAAAACACAACAGCCCATTAATTTTTTTTTCAAACTATGATAGTTCCAGTTGTGGAATGGAATAGATGGGGTGTGTTTGTAGCCAAGGCTTTTAGAAGATAGAGGATTAAAAGCAACCAATTTAAAATTATATGTATTTTATTACAGAAACAAAACCCTGAGTTGTCGACATGAAATCTACATTTTTCCCGAGGGAAATTAATAAGCACTATTAAAATTCAGTTTATAAGAAAGCTCCAGGGAGAGGTTCATCTGGGAAGGAAAAAGTCCTCTATCCAGGGCATTTCCGAGATGCTCAGGTCAGGGCTGCAAGGAGAGGTTCGGATTCCTGCAGAGATGGGTGCCCTGATCTTTGCGATTTTATGCCGACTACAGTATTTTAGGTGACACTGCACAGTAAACACGAGGACTTGTTGGGCCCAGCCCCGTCGTGGAGCAGCCTGGAGAGTTTAGCCCGTTTGTATTGTTTCCTGCGGAACCAGCTAAGCTCCAGTATTACAATCTTCTTGTTCCTACAGCGAAGCGTTCTGTCCTCCTTACAAATATTGAAACCTACCATCTCACATCGAGCACTGTTTGTTTAGTTCTGGAAGAAATGAAACCTTAATCCATGTACAATTTTCGAAGGCTTTTATTTCAATGTTTTAAGAAGTTATTTCCCCTGGCAAAGAAGTCGCCTGGTTGCCAGCGTCAGGCCATACACCAGAGTCCATCAGTAAATGGAGGCCCGTTACTGCTGTTGCTCTTCTCTTCAAGGAGAGGACGCGTGTCCAGTGAGCTGTGGGGTCACGTCCCCTTGGCTCAGGGCAGGGACCCTGGGAACCCAGTGCTGCCTCTAACTTGCTGGCTCCCTGGGACAATTCCCTTTTCCTCTTCAGCTTCCCTTGTGTCATCTGTAAAAGGAGTGTATCGGCCAGGTGGCCTCTGAGTCTCCATGTTGGCTGGCTGTCACACTGTCCAGTGCCTCTCTCTGCTTGTAGAAACTGGGCACTGAGTGGAAGGGGGCCGTGGAGGAAGACACAGTCCAACGTTCCCACCTCATGGGGTACCTTCCCACAGACCCAGCCTCTGGGCTGGGTCAGAGGCCCTAGAAGCACAGACCCTGGAGGCCGACTGAGCTTAGCATGGGGCTTTCTGACCATGGTGCTTTCCAGAGGGGAGGTGGTGGGAGCCCTGGCCTGGAGAGAGTCACAGGAGCAGCACCTCATGGTGGCAGCACATGTGAGTGAAAACATTCAGCTCAAAAATCAAGGACCAAAAGAGAAAGTTGAGGGGAGTGGGGTCCCCTAATCTTGGAGGACAGGACCCCAGTGACCCACAGCCCTTCTTTCTGCTGGGCCCCATCTCACCACTTCCAATAACTGCACCCTAGGGAGCAAGCCTGTGTCACAAGGGTCTCAGAGGGCATTCAGATAGACATAGTAGATACTGTTATTGTTAGAGGAGTTAATTGGTTCCTAACACACAATGTCCCAGAACATGGTGCAGTGTAAGCCTCCTTCCATTTTATATACCACCAGCACCCTATTCAGATGTCCTCACCGTTGGGTACACACATGTAATTCCTATCATGTGTGCCTGCATGTCATCACGGGATTTCCTCTGAAAGGGAGAAGTCACCAACCTACCCTCCCATCCACCTACCCATCCACTCATTTATTTACCTACCCATTCATCCACACAGCCACCATCCACCTGACCCATGCATGCATGCATGCATCCATCCATCCATTCATCCACCTACCCACCTATCCATTCACTCCCCCATCACCAATCCATTCATCCATTCATCTGTCCATTCATCCAACACCCACCCACCCATCCACCCACCAACTCATTCATCCACTCATCCGTCCACTTCCCCATCCATCCATCCACCCCATCCAATCCCTACTCTCCAACCCAACCACTCAGCACTCATTTACTCACCACCACTTGCCCATTTTTCCATCCATCCATCTACCCTCCTACTCACCCTTTCCTGTCTGCCCATCCAATCATCCATCCACTCACCACCACCCACCCACCTACTTGCTCATTCCTTTAAACACCTACCTGTCCATTCATCCATCCATCCACCCATCCATCTACCCATCCACTCATCCACTCTCTCATCCATCTGAAGAGAAATACTTGTTTGGTCATCTTCTTGATAAGCACTGTCTACTGCAGGGTGGTCTGGGGTCACCTTATGTCCACTAACTCTCGGTGGAGGTCAGACAGGTGATGAGCAAACTGCTGTGGGTCCACCCAGCATTGGGTAAAACAGGAGAAACCCACTGCCAGCAAACAGGACAGGCAGTCATTTCAAAGGGAGTGGGAAGCAGAAAACACTCCCCTTAGAAAACAGATACGAAGAAGGATGAGATGTGCCTAGAAAAACAGAAGCCCTAGAGTGATCCGGCTCCCTGTCTGGGGACAAGGCAGTGACTCTGTGTTGTAGGGTCACTGGGTGTGTTGGGGTACAATTAGGTGAGACTTCCATGTCCACACGTGTGCGTACTATTCGATGGACCCAGGGATGCTCCACCACTGAGCTACATTCCGGCTCTTTTCTATATTTCATTTATTTATATTTAATTTGGAGGTAGTATCTTGCTAAGTTGCCCAGGCAGGACTTGCGCTTGAGATTTTCCTGCCTCAGTCTCCCTTAGGTGCTGGGATTACAGGCATGTGCTGCACACACCTGGCTCCAACTGAATTTTTATACTTAGTATTTTTTATAATCAGTAAAGAAATGAAAGGGTAGCCAGGGAGTGTGGGAATGCACTTACAAACGCCAAGAGAGCCCTGGGACAAGGCTGAGCTGGATCTGGGCGGGGCTGAGGTCGGATGAGGGCGCCGCAAGACACAGCCTCACGGAAGCGGGCAGAGAGCCTGCATTACCGGACGGCGCCTCTGGGAGGCAGCAGAGGCCGCAGAACGCTGGGGGAAGCTGAGCCAGGACGGGTCAGGGCTGGCATGCGTGGGGTAAGGAACCCAGGGACCCCTTTGCTGGCTCCTTTCCTCAGGCCACACCGGCCCAGTCATCCCATCAGGAAATTCTGTGTGTTCCCCAGGAGTCTAGCTCAATGCTTCATCTGTCTCCACCTGTGTCTCTGTCTCACTCCCCACTGTAACCCAGTGACAAAGCACTCTGTCCTTTGTAGGCCTTGGTGTCTGGATTTTCGGTAGAAGGTGACTGCTGATCCGGAGGCTGTGCAGTGTGCAGGGGACGCAGACCCAGTCCACAGTGGCCTGGCCGTGTCGGGTACACTCAGGGGATAGGGTTATAAATGGGGACAGTGGCGTGAACCTTCACATCAGGGAATACAAGCAGAGACAGAGAAGTCCACGATGAAAACACAGCATGTGTGGTGCTGGAAGCTGAGTGGTCCACAGTTGCTGTTATGAGGGATCGGATTCACTTGGACTCTCCTGGCAGCTCTAGAGAAAAGCGGAACAAGATCAGGCCTGCAGGTTTCTATCTCCCTGTCTTTGGGCTGCAAACCTACCAGCTTCCCAGAAAGAGGTAGGCTTCCTCAGCTACTCACAACCTGGCAGTCTCTCCAGGGTTTTTGGAGGACTCTGAGGTGTTGGGGCAGTGCTGAGGACTGTCTGTCATGTGTGCCCTGCGTGTATGCTGCTCACCCCCAAGATTGCAATCCCCCAAGGACAGAGCCTACCTCTCCCAGGCTATAGACTTTGAGATCCTTCTTTGAGTAGGGGGGCTCTGGGTTGGGGCTTGCTTTTGGGGGAGGCATAACTTACATGCAGTACAAGGTGCCCTTTGGGGTTAAAAGGTGGGCCGACCTTGTCACCCCGAATTCCCTCATAGCCCTCTCTGTAGTCAGCATCCCCTACCTTTTCTGTCCTGCCCTTTTCTTGGTTCCATCCTTTGGCCTCCGTCCGATGGACTTGTGTTTTGTGCAGCTGGGCCTGTGACAAGGTGCAGGAGGACCCAAGCCCTGGGTCTCAGTCTGTGCTCATCCCAACATGTTTTGATGCTTTTTTTAAAATAGTTTTTTGTGATACTGGGGATTAAACCCATGGTCTTCACAGTGAACTCCATTCCCAGCCCTTTTCATTTTTTCTTTACAGACAAGGTCTCACTAAATTGCTAAGTTGTCTGGGCTGGAATCCCAACATGAGATCTCCCTGCCTCAGCCTTCCAGAGTGCTGGCATTACAGGCCAGCACCATCAGGTCCTACTTGAGCTGTGTGTTATGCTTTTGTTTCCCTCTGGTCTTTTGTCCCAGGTAGGCAATGGCCTCTCATGCTCAGGGACAAGGTAGAGATGTCCCTACTCATCCACAGTACCTTGCCAGGTTCAGTGTCCCTCAGTCTGCTGGCTGGTGGCTGTGCCGTCTCCCTACCGTTATGGTCTCTCTTTATATGCTGGTGACCCTCAGCCTGCCACCATCTATCATCCTGTCTCTCGGGCCTGGCGGGCAGGCCACGGACTCCCTTGGGAATTAATGGCTATTGTCTCCTGCTGTCCCTTATCAAATGCAGCCGGGTTATCAGTTGACACTCTCAAGGACCTTCTCCCCACCCTGCCTTATTGTCAGTGGTTCCTGAGAAGGAGGCTGTGGGGTCAATTTGCACAGCATCTCCAGGGTGCTGCCGGCCAGACTTCCTAAGGGAGCACCAGAAAGTCAGCTGGGACCCCAAGCCTCACCCCACGGTGTCTTCATCAGGTCACACACTTATGACTCTAATAGCAGCGTGGCTGTCCCCTCACCTCTGCCTGACTCTTGCATGTGGAGGCATCTTGAAGGCCTCTATCAGATCTGCCAGGAGCTTCCAGGTACACCTCGAGGTCCTCCTGCTCTGTGAGCTTCAGGTCCTGCTGCCTCCTGGGAGCCCTCCAGGGTGCGCAGATCAGCTCTAGGTGGACGTCCATCCAGGGACCATTGCACGCTTGCTCCAGAACACAGATCCAGTGGGCACTGCTTCCAGAGTCCTCCCTTCCTTCGTGGAGAGCCAGGGTGGCGCATCTGCTGAGCCTGGGCGGTGGTGCCTGAGTGTCCCGGGCCCTCACTCAGGCGCTGGCCTTGCGTGTTTGTGCCTCCCTCACTTCCGCTGCTGCTTCTCCACAGAGCAGGGCCTTTTTGCTGGTGGGAGGAGGGGAGGCTGCAGCTTCTTCGTGCTCTGAGCTGCCAGAACCCCAGCCCCAAGTGTTCTTTGTCCCTCTGTAGTGTGGCGGGGCATCTCCATGCTGGTCACAGCCTGGGACTGCTGTGTCACTCACCGAGGGGCCTTTTCTGCAGCAGGGTCTTGCAGAGTTTTCTTCTGGGTCCACCTGGGCCTAGTGAGCAGGACCGAGGGTGCTCCTGACCCCGACCCTGTGCCATCCTCACCTGTGTCATCTCCCATGGTCACCACTGGTTCCCAGCCCTGTGTCTGGTTTCCCTGTTGGTCCTCAGGGCCTGTGGCTGCTGAAAGAAAGGCTGCACCCCCGGATGGGAGCGGCCCAGCGCCAGGGAAGGGAATGCAGGGCTCTGATTTAAACTCGTTAAGCCCAATGAACCTGCCCGCCCAAAGATCCCAGTCTGCGGCCCGGCCTTTTAATCTCGTTGGGGCCTCGGGATAATTCGTTTAGCTGTGCTGATCACTGGAAGGTTAATTCAATTGGACTTGGGTTATTCATTTGTGCCCGGATTTGCTAAGTGTCACTGAGGGTACATGAGGTCTTTATTATGGGGGCAAGATGGCTTCATTAGGGTGGTGCTGGCCCCTTGCCTCCTCCTCCACTCCCCCCTCCCCTCTCCTTTTCTTTCTCCTTCTCTCCGTTCTTCTTGTCCCCTCTTCCTCCTCCTCCTCCTCCTCCTTCTCCTCCTCCTCCTCCTCCTCCTCCTCCTACTCCAAGCTCAGGTGGAGGAGGCTGGGCTCTGGGGCAGAGCTGGGTGCAGCTGGGTGAGGGGTGGCCCAGCTCTGTCTGGGTCCAGCTCCCACGAGCCTTGGTATCCACAACCTGTGGGCTCTTGAGTCCCAAACCAGCCCTTGTGATCTGCTTCCCAGGTCACTCACTGGAACCCCGGGCCCCTCAGCTTTCACTCTCTGCCAAGATCAGCCTGTAGCTGGGTGGGTCATGTGAGGGTAGTATCCCTATACTTGACCCCGTTGACCTGTGCCCAGAGGTGCCCAGTCACAGAGAGGGTGAATACAGTCAACTGGGGAGGGCAGGAAGGTTTGGAGGTGATCATGTGGTGGACACCTGGCCAGGACGAGCAGGGTTTGGCCAGCTGCCTCCTGGGTGAGACACTGCTGGCTGGTTCCTTTTGCCCAGCTCTGTGTCCTTGAAGCTGGGCAGGCAGGTGGGCAGGGGAGGTGATCTGTGTTACATGTGAGGGACGATCCTGAGCAAAGGCCTTGTGTTCAAGGCCCCCTGGGCAGCCAGGCAAGTCCCTGTGCTGAACAGTGGAGGAATCTGAGGCCCAGAGAGGGGAAACAGTGCCTCAGGGGTCACACAGCTCAGCAATAGCAGAATGGGGCCCAAGGAGAGCCAGCTAAACCTACATCTTTTTTATTTGTTGTGTAGTGGGGCCTTTAAACTGAGCTCCATCCCTAGCTCTTTATAATTTTTAAAATTAATTTCTAAAAAATTATTTATTTTTACTTTGAGACAGAGTCTTGCTAAGTTTCCAAGCTGGGCTTGAATTTGAGATTCTCCTGTCTCAGCTTCCCAGAATGCTAGGATGATAGGCATGTACTACCACATCTGGCATCTAAGTCTTATATCAATTTACCATCTTGCAGATGTTCTGGCCAGGGACTGTTAATATCTCTTTTCAGAGGCAAAGACTTGGAAGCTCAGAGATGAGGTGTCCCGGGCACACAGCTGCCCTGCTGTAGAGATTTATTGCTTCCTGAACTTCTAGCCCCACCTCTTCGAGGAAGGCTCGGTGGTCTCTGGAGACCAGGGCTGGCTAACACTGTTGTCTTGGGCTGGGTCCTGCGAAAGTCGACCCTGGGAGGAGGCTCTGGGGATGCTGCTTTCTCTAGAAACTAACTGTAGGAAGTTGAAGTGGAGTGGAGAACCAAGACATGGGAGATTTTATACTCGAACGTTGGCTCTCGGAGGCTCTCAAAGGCCAAAGTGTCCCAGGATCAGTGTCTGTGAGCTGGAGACTCAGGGAGCCTGTGGTGAAATCAGCCAGAGGCATGAGAGCCCAGCCAGTGCGGGGGAGATGCATGAGGTGGAAAAGTGGTGAATCCTTCCTTCCTCTTCCATCCTTTGCTTTGTTCAGTCCATTAAGAGGACAGGGGCTATCTACTCCCATCTGGGGGCTGCCCGCTTCACTGATCCATCCTAGAGCTGATCTCATCCTGGGACACCCCTCAGGCACAGCCGGAAGTAGTGTTTATCTGGCACCCACAGCCAGGCATGGGACCTGTGACACTGACCATTACAGGTGAGAGGCCGGGGGAGATCAGGTGTACCCACACATGGGGCTCCCCTGGGGAAGAAGACTCTGGGGGATACACACAGCCTCGATTGCACATCTGCGCTCCCGAGTCCTCTTAACCTGAAGTTGCCTCGGGGTCCTGGAGAAAATGAGACCCAGCGTGTTGATGAGGTCAGAGTCAAACCCCCGTGCCAGGAACCCATCCTTGGTGTCCTCCAGGGTGCTCCTGGGTGGCCCTTTGTTCACCCTCATGCTCTGACGATGCCTGATGACACTGAGGTGCTCCAGGAGCACGACCACAGCAGGGTACAATTTTGACTCATGTGCCTTGGCTGATATTTTTGTGTCCACAGGATGGGGCTCCAGGCATCCCAGAAGGCTGGCAGAGATGGGGTGTCTGGGGTGTCTGTGAAGGTGGTCCAGGCAGAGGTGGGCATGAAACTAGGCTGAGTGAAGAAGCTGCCCTCCCCAGTGTGGACACTCCATCTAATCCTCAGTGGGTGGGAAGGACAGGAGGGAGAGGAAGAGTGACTTCTGTCTCTGGAGCTGGGCTAGCATCTTTTGCTCTGGACACTGAGGGGTTGGTCCTCAGGCCTCTGTGGCAGGTCTGACACTCAGCATAGCCCACCTCCCCCAACCTGCTTCTCAGGTCTTTGGGTTGGACTGAACTCACCCCGGCTTCCTGATCTCCTGCTTGCTAGAGAGAGCAAAGGGTGGGCTTATCAGCCTCTGTGGTTTCCTGAGCCAGTTCCCACCACTGCCTCTTTTTTTTTTTTTTTCCACCACTGCCTCTTTATCTCTCCATCTTTCTCTTTACACGCATGCACGCATGTATACACATACGCACGCACGCACGCATGCACGCACGCAGCACGCACGCACGCACGCACGCATGCATACACATCATGGGCTGCTTCTCTGGAAGACGGAGAACCCAAGCCCCTTTGCCTCACAGCTGTGCGTCATCCATGTGCCAACATCCTAGGCCAGCCCTGTAGACTGCTTCCTTGATCCCAGGACAACATGAGGATGCCCTGCCTGGGTGAAAATAGGGGAGGCTTAGGGACAGGGATTTCCAGAGCCCCAGAGCCCCGTCTCAGGCCAGCCATATCCCTGTGTCCATGTGAGGTCCAGGAGGCACCAATGTAGTGTGGCCTGAGAGGCCCCTCGGCTGCTGTCACCAAGGCCATTTGCCAGTGACGTTTGGGTGGTCCAAGGTGAGGGTTCCTCTCTGTCCTTAGGGGCCCTTGCTGGCAGAATCTGGGTGTTTCAGGGTGGCTTCCCCAGAGTGGTACTGAGGCTGGAAGCAGGGCCTCACAGACACAGAGCAGGTGCTCTACCACTGACTGCCGCCCCGCAGCCTTGATCTGCTGTTTGGCTTGGGGGAGGGACAGGGAAATTTAAACGCCAAGGGGCATGGAAGGAACCTCAGCAGGCCGGTATGGGGCAGCAGGCCCAGGGAATGGTCTTGGAGATCTGTGGGCTGCTTGGCTTACAACAGTTCCACCGAGAGTCCTGGGGGTGCACACAGGTGTGCATGTATTGCTTGGTGGACAGGAAGTGATCAGTCCATTGCTAGACAGCAGTCATCCCTGGGGCCGGCTGGCTGGCAGCAGGTGGCCTGAGGCGGTGGGGGCCCTTCCCATCCTTTCCCACATTGGCTCCCCAGCTTCCCACACCCAGCCTCCCTTCAGGCCCCCATTTTTCCTCTGCTGCCCCCAACTTGCCTTTTCCTTATACATCAGCCAAAATGTGGCTCCCCCAAGACTCTGCGTCCTCTTCCTCAACACCACAATTTCCCATTTGTAGGTTAAGCTGCACCTGGGGTTCTCTGCAATCTGCTAACTCACGGCAGTTCCCAGAATGCCACTGTTGCTCCAAGCTGGGAGCTGGGGGGTAGGGGAGTACAGAGAGAGGCACAGGGATGAGGTGGCAGGAGACTGTCCCTGACTGTGTGTAAGCATGAGGAACTTCTGATCCTTGGCTGAATCCACAGAACAGCTTGTGGGGGAGCAGTGCAACCAGGACACTGTGCTCAGTTGTGTGGAGGGCAGTAGTCACTGGGATCCACATGCATCTCCAACCTTTGCAGGCCAGGGACTGGTGAGGTTCAGAGCCTTGCTTGTGGAGCAGGGAGAGCATCTTCTAGCATCTTCCTTGGTCCATGCAAACCTCTGGCATGCACTCCACTCAGACCCTAGAAAACCAGGGCTCAGAGAGCGAGTGACTGCTCAACCACCGGACAGCAGTGTCTGAGGGACAGGAGCCCAGGTCCCTGGGTGTCCTGCTGTGTCCTGTCCATGAGTCAGGGGCTACAGACCAACCTGATGGTGTTGAATCCTGGGAACAGGCTCCAGGGGTCTGGTGCAGGGTGCAAAGGAGAGGAAAGAGACTCCTGGAGTCAGGGTGGATTGCGCACTGGGATGGTGTCCCTGGAAGAGGGCATGACCCAAACAAAGACAGGGGCCAGTCTGGGATGGTGGAGGGGCCGAGAGACAATGTGCTGGCTGGGTCACTGACCTGTGCAGCTGACTGCCTGGCTGGGCCTCACTGGAACCTGGGTGAGGCTGTATAGAGAGGTTACAGGAGACCAGGAATCTGCCTATAACGTTCTGCTGGCCTGGGGGACAGAAAGAGCCCTCAGTTTTGGGAGAGGAGCTGGAGGCACCCAGGGGAAGCTGCCTGGGGAAGCAGGTGGGGAGGAGCTCACAGGAGGACTGGCGGGAGCTCCCTGAGCCCGGAAGTGCATCTGCTGCTTTTCCTAAGCTTCTCTGCCTCTCTGAGTCTGTCCCCAGGCCACCTATCCCTGGGAAATCAGAGCTGTGGGCCAAGGAGATTATTGTGTCTGTCCTTTCTTCTTCCTCTCCCTCTGTCCCTTCACCCTGCTCCCCCGGCAGTGTGGACAGGCTGTACATCCAGCCCGGCTCAGGGCTCAGAGGTGAGAAATCCTCCTTCACAGAGACCTGCAGCTCAGCAGAGATTGAGAAGACAAGAAGTGTGCGGCCCTTGTGGCCACGTGCAGTGAGAGCTACCCAGGCTGGGAGAAGATCACTCAGATGGGGGCTGGGAGAGAGGCTCAGGCGAGCAGG